GCCGGTTGACAAAGGGACGCCTTAGTGTTGTCACTTCCTTTATGGTGTCTGTGGTTTTTTCTTTCCTTTTTGCTCGAGGCTTTAGACCACTCTTCAAACTGTTTGTATTTATGTGTTCAGCCTTTATTTAAAACTTTATCTGAGTCACTTCTTCCCTCTTTGGTGACGCTGAACGTGTTCACCTCAGCTCTGCTGGTTTCGATCCTCCAGGAATCTGCAGGTGATGATTAGAGAGGACCTGCTCGATAGGTTGTGACAGTTTCAGCTAAAAGCGTTGAGCAAACTGCATCGTAGCTTCTCACATCCGGAGAGCGCCATTTTGTTCACTTCCTTTTCTCTAGAGCAGTTTTCAGCAGGGTAAGTCTGTAATATCCATTTGAGCTCCGGCATTAGTGAAAGCTGAAAGTTTGTGTGAAAATATAAATTATGAGTACGGTAAATTTTGGTTGTCATTTTTATATACGTGTTTTTTGCACATTCATAGTCTTGTTTTTGCACATTATTGGTGACATGCTTGAGACACTTAACAGTTTTAACACCAACATGTCAAATTTTCATATTACAAGTTTCTATAAAGACTATTTAGCAGTGCACTATGGAACACATGCATTTAGGCTTTTGTGCATACATAAACCCTTTTTTCCAGAATTTCCTGTTTATTTGTAAACAGTTTCTTTTATTGTTGCAGAATTATTGACTCGGCTGATAAAAGTGTAGGAATTTGATTTGGCAGGCAGTTGCAGTTTTCCCCACCGGCCTCTCTGATGATCCTGCAGTGCAGCGTGCCTCGATCAGAAGCATGCATGAATTAGCACTCATTCATTTTTTTGCCAGTGCAAAGCAAGAACGAGTCCACAGTGTTATGATTACTTCCATACCCGAGGAACTGTTGCGTACAATGACAGCATTCCCTCAGTAACTTCTCTATTCTTTACTGTCTTGTGTGTTTAGTGGGGGAGAAAAATTGTTCTGCAGGGCGCACCGATGTGCAAAAACATGTCTAAAGGCAGATGGAATTTGCTCTGCTTTTAAAAAGTTGAGTAAAACGGTGACTCATGCTGCTGCTGCATATATCACCTCCCTTTTTTGTGCACACATCTATTTGTGTGTGTGTGTGTGTGTGTGTGTGTGTGTGTGTGTGTGTGTGTGTGTGTGTGTGTGTGTGTGTGTGTGTGTGTGTGTGTGTGTGTGTGTGTGTGACTTTGTCCGTTATACTTCTGTATTTTTCTTCTTTTCTTCCCATCTGCCTAAAATGCAGAAGAAAACCTCTAAATAATCTCTTAAAACTCATATAAACATCCAGACTTCATCAGTGACATTTTGCATACTAATGAAAATAATAGGAATAGTAGGAATATCTCGGTGCACGCTTGCATGCCTTTTTTTACTCTGGCTAATGCCTGCAGCCCGTTATCAGATTTGGAGATCTGCCTGTTTTGCTGCCACTTTTCATAGAGACACCTGCTCTTTGCAGGCTCTATTTTCTTCTGTCTACCTTCACAAAATGGATGTGTTTTATCTCATCAGATGTGTGCGTGTATGTGTGTATTTCATTCATAGCTCAAATGTTTAGGTTTGTTACATTAAACTGATGTTTCTGCTTCATAAATCCACCTATTTTTCTCTGCACTAAGATGATTGAAGGTTCAACTTTATCTGCCACTTCAGTATGGAGAATTGATCAGTTCTTTCTAAGAATAAGTCCACAGTGAACAGAAACAGGGCCTGACTACTTGAAATACTTTAGTTTGTTCCCATTTCTATTTCAGTCTGAGCTTGCTTCTTTTGTTCCTAGACAGGTACGAGGTGTCATGAATCAACATGTGTAGTCCTGCCTTGTCTTCAGCTTGCTTTCTGTTCCCTAAACCTTTTATCTGAGGTTTTTAGATTTAATAACCCTGTAAACAAACCCACCGGTCAGAATCATTTCATGTTATGTGTTCATTTTGTTGAAGTATTGATCATTTTGATTAAAACTGATGTTTTAATGGATAACAATGGCAATATATTTAACATTTTTACATATTTTCTGCCTTTTTTTCCCCACTTTGAATCTGATTAATCGCTGCATTATTCTTCAATTTAGATTTTTGACTGTGATATTTGTTTTAACACCTGCTCTGCATTTCCTTTGTCCCTTCTGGGTCAAGCAGCCTCAGACGTATGAAGCGGTGGAACCGTTGGACCTGGAGGAGATCCTGATGTCACAGTTAACTAGCGAAGACCTGGCTCTGATGCACGAACTCGGAGACTTTCCCGATGATGAACTGAAAGTGGAGCAGGTGGAGAGGGAGAGGCGGACCATTCGGCACTCCGTCCCCGAGGATGGGTGAGTTCCAGGCTGTTTTTGGCGATAAGGATTGCCTTCATTTTCTCTAAAATTATTTAGTCATTTCTTGTTATCTTAGTTCATTCAGAACATTTGTGTCTTTCTCTCAGTTTGACCATGAACAACAGATTAGGATAAGCGGTGAATTTCAAGATTTCCATTCCTCTGTGCGTGTCTGCATGCCCATTTATCAGCAAACATAACTGATATCTGTCCTCTTTACAGATGGGAGTTAGATCCACATGTCAGAGACTGTGTGAAGAGTTACACCCAGCCATGGCTGATAGTCTCCAGGAGGTAGACACTTCGTTTCTGAATGGTTCTACTTATCTATGTTTTGGAAGAGACATTGTGTTGGGTTTGCATGTTGACGTTTTGGCTTTTGTGTGTGTAAAGGTGCCAGGGGGACGGCTGGAGCATGTACTCTGAGCGAACTGGCCTTCACAAAAACCTGCAGAAACAAATATTTGAGTCTGATATTCAGCCAAAAACCAAGGAAAAAGCAGTAAGCAGTAACAACACATTCAGTCCTGTTTTGGTCTTAAATAATAGTTCATGCATATCTATTTTTAAGGTGGATTTAAGGTGGACACTAGCAACGACTTCTTCCTTTGTGTAGCCCATTTGATTGTTGATTTTATTCAACAAACAGCCACACATGTGATGCAAGTTAAAGCCTGAGTAGTGGGATGAATTTGAGAATTTCTGAGAAAGACGGCATAAATTCTTAAATTTGCATGTAAAACAGTTCAAACTTTTAATGCTGGAGTTTTAAATTTACCAGAAAAAACATGGACGTTTACTGAAATGATCAAATTGTGAATTTGCCAAGAAAAAGAAGAGTCACAGGAAGGTATTGTAGATATACTAATAAAGGGCCCATATCATGCTTTTTACACCTTCCAGAGCAAAAGTAGGCACAATAGCACACAGCTGCAGACCCAGAGACACCAGATTCACACCGACATGTCCCACTCAGTCCCTTTTAAATAGCAAATTTTCCTTAAAATTTTACCCCTTAGCTCCTTGTAAACTAATATATTTCTTTGTTAATTTGTTTATTTCTTTGTTTTATTCACCCAGTACAAAGGGATTGCTTTATAGAAATGTAAATCAGTTTAAAGTTAAGCTTTGCTTTCTGAAATGCTATTTAAGAAAAGTTTTTTAATGGGACATAAAATGTAAAACTCACCGTTCATCCTTTTGTGTAGCCATGTGGGCTTCAGCTATTAATTGTGGACACAAAACCATCCATCCGACAGCATTCTGTCAGTGCTCGGTTTTAGGAATTATGTGCCTTAAACGACACAATTTAAAATGTCCCCGTTTGTGATGTCACAGTTGGGGAACTTAGTGTAGAACCACCTCTGATGTGCAAGAGAGAGCTGCTGCTGGAGAAGCAGCTGCTCTACTCTAATCCCCTCCCAGATGTCGGAGCTTCTCAGCTTATGGCAGAGTGGGTGAGGTATAGGTGGGCGTGGCCAGCTCCACCTTGTTTTCTTAAAGTGACAGAGCTCTGAAACGGCTCATTCTGGAAAGTACTGAAAATGTAAAGAATGAAGCTGCTGAGATTGCTTTATGTGAGAGGGATTTAGAGCAAAAAAACATCACTAACATGTTGTGTAGATAACAGAAGTGGTATAACTTAAGAAAAAAGTAAAAATAAGTGTCCTCTAAAGAGAAGTGAGTTTTTGAAAAAGCAAAAAAATAAAAAAAAAGATATAAAAATAAATGAATGCTAAACTAAATTAATGTCTTGTTTACACACCAATTTGATGCACTGACATCATGTCTTGTCCAAAAGTTACAAACTACCGAAGAACAAGGAAACTACTTTGTAATGGGATTTCTATAAGCTGGGTTTAGTTAAAGGGCCTTTTGTGACACTTAAATAAGAGCGGTATGGTAGTCCATACTGATCAAGGCCTGAGAGACATGTGCGTGCGTGTGCTTCAGTACCGAACACAACACTGTGTTGTTATTCCCATCACTCTTCTCACAGTAACAGTGGCTCTTTTAAGTTCATCCAGACTGCTTTGCACAAAGCTGCATCAACATTTTTCAGCCTCTGCTGTTGATGTTTAACCAGACTGGTTATTGCATGTTGCACAATAGAAAATGTGGAATATTATGCATGCAGCAAATAGATAATTAACATCTATATGTCGGTTTCAGCTTCATTAATTGCCTCTTTCAAATTGATTCTATTGGATTCATTGGAATCTTTTGTCCCTTTTGTGGTTTTTCTGGCTCTCAGAGTTGGCCAGTCCCAGCCATCCAAGTCCCAGTCAGAACCACTCCCACCCCCTCCCTTCTGTTGCTTGCTAGTACTGGTTAATCATCCAAACCAAAAAGCCTCCTATTACGGGTGCAGGATTCCCATCATCTGTATGCCAGAGAGAATGAGAGAGAGAGAGAGAGAGAGTGCCAGAGTAACAGGAAGAACAGCGCCATTGTCCTTTCAGCCATGGGCCAATCTGCTTTGACAAAAGGCCCCGGGTTTTTGGCGAGGTGGTTTCTTGGAGCCTGAACCGACAGCGGCTCCACCAGGGTGGATGCTCGGTCAGTGCTGCCCTGTAGTGTGAGAGGCTGGATGTGAGTTTGATGGATGATGGGAGTGAAAGAGACAAGAAGAGGGGGGGTGGCAAAGGGGGAGTGTTCTAATAATGGAGCAGTGAAGTTACACCATGAGTGAGAAATTCTCTTAAATTTCCCTTTAATGTTTCCATGGAAGGGTCAATCACCGCACAGCTAATCTGCAGAAAAACATACTAAGCGTTGGCGTGGATGGGTTGTCCGTTAGATATAAAGTCATTGGTCCCAAGCCACCTCAGAATGGGCAAAATATGAACATTAGCTACAGTAATGCTAACTGTAGAATAAAGCTAGGCCAAGCTAGCTTGTGCTACTGCTAATGCTAGCTTGAGTACCTGCTAACGCTAGTCCCCCCAGAGTTACTAGCTTCAGGCAGCATCATATCAGCTCACAAAAAATTCATGTCTTTGACAAGTGGTGGGCAAACCCAGAGCATTATGGGGTTTTATTTGGCCATTTATCAGAGCTCTTGGGGCATTTTGAGCCCCAAAAAGGTTCTTTGGTGCTATATTTAAGCCCCGAGAGCAATTTCCAGCTGTAAAAGAATAAGTACAGGATATCTTGGAACATCTTTAAGATTTTGAGATTCCTTTAATGAGGATGTTTATTAATTATTCACAATCCAATATAATTCCCATAGGTCTCTGAGCACATCTGCACATCACAGAATGGAATTAATTAGACGTGCGAGTTATTGCAGATGCCTGGTGCCATTTTTAATTTAACAGGACAGAGCTGTTGCTTGCAGGGGACTTGTTGGTTGTCATAATAATCCTGCATCCGACCAGTTTAGTCCCCCAGGGCTGGTGTAGCTCAGTCCTTCATCCTCGTTTTGTCTGACGAGCTGCAAACCTGCTAGCTGGTGCCTGACTACAGAACTCCATCAGCTAATACAAGACGTGTAGATATTAGCAACAGCACCACCAATTTACCCCTCATCAAACCCTTAGTAGCCTCCCCTTTTAAATGAATGGTCACGTCTGTTGTGCTTACACCAGCAACTCCAATTATTAAGGTCACTTAGCATGGCACACACAAAAGCCATACCAAGCATGTTCATGTAACTTGTATTGCGTCAACTTTTCAGGCATAAATTTCCCATTAACGGGATGCTTGGCTTGTGTTTTCTACTTTTAAGTAATTCTCAGAAATCCCCAAGAGGGTTTCTTCGTCTTGAGGCCAAAACTAACCTGTCTAGACATTGTAAATGCCTGTCGAGAGAACCAGGGAGTCTGCATTTTTAAATTAGATGAATACAAACCTTCAGCTTATCTCTCTCTAACTCTCTCACAGGATTCTTGCCTTACTTCTCTGTCCTGGAATACAGGATAGCTCATGACTCATCTTTACTTGCTTGTTTGTTTTTTTTTTAAATCCCAGATCAGGTCTCCGAGTCTTGCAGGTCTGACCGAGGACTCGGGTCGCACTCTGACTTCGTGTGATTTTAACTTGCGAAGTCTGGCCCCGGACCCGAGGGTGAAGTATGCTTTGGCCTTCAGCAACCAGGAGGAACTGGATCGATTAAACCAGGAAGCGCGGCAGGAAAACAGGCCCTCTGAGCTTTTTTCTCTTTACCCACCACCGGACGAGGTGAAGAAATAAAAAAAATGAATAAATCTTCTCTAAAATCCAAGTTAAAACACTTAAACTTTATTTCTAAAAATGTGATATAGTTTCCCGTGCAACATCTGTGTTTTATTTGAACCGTACGCCGTCGCATTTGCAGGATGATGCTGTGGAAATCCGTCCCATTCCTGACTGCCCCAAAGAACACACTGGAGAACGCATCCTGATGCGATGCCAGGCCATAAAGTACGTCACACATTTTCATTAAGTTGTAGGAGGGGGAATAGTTTTATCATTTCAACAGCTGCTTTCTGTTTATTGTGCAAGACGGACAAGGAGCCAACAGTTTCAGGCGCCCCCTTGTTTTTGAAAATGAGCTTTTATGATGCATTTAAGATACAAAGCAACTTCTCACATAAAAAAATGTTTTTGCAAATATTGTTTTGGGAAATCAGCCATAAATGAGGGTGAAGGAGTGATGTGTAATGGACGTATTCTCCAAAATGCCTCTAATCCTCCTTCCATTTGAGGAATTCTTTCATTCACATGAACTCAAACAACATTTTCAGGCTTCAGACGATCTCCCTTGTCCTTCTGCAGCTCCCGGCTGCCAAATGTTTCAGTCTCAACTCGCTGCGGTTTGGCAGCATCACCTCTGATCCTGTTAGCCTTCGGTTCAACATGTCATCACTTATGGTTTAGCTGTGTCCCATCATAACAACGATTCACAGGAATAGAACGAAGTTTTGCTCTTGGCAGTGGCTGAATTATAGATTTCCTTTTTCTTTCAGGTTTGAAATTGACATTGAGCCCATATTTGCCACCCTGGCCTTATATGACCTAAAAGAGAAGAAAAAGGTAAGAAAAACTCTTGCTGAACTAGACTCCCCCAAAGAATGTAAATTTTGTTTTACTTTAGCTTAAGGAATACATACATTCCAACAAGTTTAAACGTTTCAGTTTATTTTTATCTGTAATGTAAAATAATATTTTTTTTTAAATATTATCAAGCAGGAGAAAAGTGCTTCTCAGTACATGAAAGCCACACATTGCAATATTTTTATATTTTAAATCATTTTCTTGAGCCATATGTGCTAAAATGACCCTTTACTGGGTTAATAAAATGCCACCCAGCCCCTATCGCCCCCTGTGGCCAGAATATTCCACTTGCAACTTCAAACTGGCGGGCCGCTCTTTTGGAACTTCATGAACACAGCTGATTTGTTTAATTTAGTGATGAATCACTCCTGTAGACACTAATAAAGGCTGGGGAGACATTTCAGCAGTTAGATTAAGGTGTTAAAAAGACGAACGCCCTGTGAGGTGATGAGTTTTGCTTTAGGTTCTACAAATGGAATCTAGGGGGTGCTAAAAGCAAGCCAAAACTGCCTCGTCTCCCTTTAAGGAAATATTCAGTATTTACATACATACTGCATACATACAGGGGCGACGGTGGCATAGGAGTTAAGTGCTCGCCCCGTAATCGGAAGGTTGCTGGTTTGAGTCCCGCTCAGTCTGTCGCTGTCGTTGTGTCCTTGGGCAAGACACTTAACCCACGTTGCCTGCTGGTGGTGGTCGGAGGGACCGGTGGCGCCAGTGCTCGGCAGCCTCGCCTCTGTCAGTGCGCCCCAGGGCAGATGTGGCTACATTGTAGCTCATCCCCACCAGTGTGTGAATGTGTATGTGAATGGGTGAATGACTGATTGTGTTGTAAAGCGCCTTGGGGGGTTATAGGACTCTAGAAGGTGCTATATCAAATACAGGCCATTTACCATTTAGATACATAAGCTAAATTCGGTTCGACGAAACGAGGAACTTAGAGCAGTGAATTTAGACGTGGCTGGACCCAACAAGAGCTGTCTACAGTGAAATGTAGTTTTCTCTTAGATTTAACAACTTTTTAACTGGCAGGTCAACAATTGGTTGGAGCCCATTTTTAGCACTGAGCTTTTTGACACATGCAATAAACTTAACTGTAAAGTGAGAGGTTTTAGTTTAAATTGAGGCCTTTTAAGATAAAAATCCCAAGGCACTGGACAAAAATGCAAAAAAAGTAAAAAAAAATTTTTTATTGCAGTCTGTAAAAATGTCAATGTCAATTTTATTTATATAGCACATTTCCAACAATCAGAGACTGCACAACTGTACATAGACAAGCAGTAAATAAAATGATAAAACACTGAGAGACTTCCAGTAGACCCTAATATTACTTAACTATAAAATCAATTAGAAGCAAGGGTAAAAAAGTAGGTTTTTTTAAAGAGACTTAAAAGCAGAAAGACTGTCAGCAAACCTAATCGGTAGGGGAAGGCTGTTCCAGAGCTTGGGAGTGGCCATAGAAAAGGCTCTGTCGCCTCTGGATTTCAGCCTAGACTTGGGAACAGATAATAGATGTAGAGAGGATGATCGGAGGTTTCGTTTGGGGACACGAGTGTTTAACAGTTCCGACAGATAAGGAGGGGCCAAATTGTGTTGTGCCTTAAAACAGATCAGTAGCACTTTAAATTGAATCCTGTAATTGATCGGGAGCCGGTGAAGAGCTTGTAAGACTGGTGTTATGTGATCCCTGCGCCTCCTACCTGTCAGCAAGCGGGCTGCTGCATTCTGAGCCACCTGCAAGCGGTGAATTGACGACTGCTCCAGTCCATGATAAAGAGGGTTGCAGTAGTTGAGTCTCGACATGATTGAAAAGGTTATACACCTGCTAAAGTCTTTGAGTGGTAAATAGGGCTTGACTTTACTAAGAACACGCAAATGAAAGAACACGCTCTGGACCACAGAACTTATTTGTTTATCAAGTTTAAAATGGCCATCAATGAAAAAACCCAGATTTCTTGCCTGAGACACACAAAGTCAAAGTCAAAAGGATTCTAAAGGGCCAAATACACTGTTTACCCCGTGCAACCGCCCAGGGTCCCCGAAAACAACAATTTCCGTCTTTTTGTCATTTAAAGTGAGAAAAATGAAGTAATAGTGACATCCTGTGGTCAAATGTGGTTACTGCAACCCATCACTCTTCCCCCGTTGCCAGTTATGGGTAAAAAAAATGTATATATGTATAAATACTATCAGTGTTTTCACAATTATGAACAATTAAAAAAATATAGTGGAGAAAATTAGGGCAACATTCGAATAATTAAGATCAAGATGAAAAAATAAATAAATAAATAAATTTGTAAAAGTTGAATATTGCTGTAAAGAAGAAAAGAAAGAAAGAAAACTATCTTTAATATAGCGACTCTCAAGATACAAATCACGTATTCTGTTGGCATTATTATTTCAGACGACAATAACGTGGATTATTTTTCTAGCTCTGGGATTGTGTTGGTGTTGTCGTGCAAGACCGAAAGGCAGTGATGGTTTTGGGGCAGAGACTTAAAGATTGAGTTGCCGAGTAATTATGGTGCAGGCGCTTGGAAACGTGCCACAATTCAACGTTAAAATGAGTTTGAATGGAAGTGAAACATCCGTACCAGTTCCAGTTCAGTCTAAATTAGCACTGAAAGACTTTAAAATGATTAAAATTGTGATGAACAGACCAGTGAACCAAGTTTTTGACATATTTTTATTTTTAAACATGTTAAAATCGTATGTGGTTTTCTTTTAAGCTCTTTATAAGATTTATTGGAGCATCATCTTTTATTTTCACCTCCTGGAGGGGGGGAGTGAGCGTGGTCATCCAATTGCACCGTGTTTTCCCTCTCAGCTACTCTAAGCGGTGGGTGTTGTGGATGTTTTCTGTAGATTAGCAGAGCTGAACACTTTTCTGGGTGAAGGGACCGGAAAGATTATGCGCTCGTGAAGATCTGGTTTTTACCCCTCCTATCAGCGTTGCCCTCGTGCTCTATGCTCCGGCTTGTCTGTGTCACTAAAAGCTCTGTAAGACTCTTTATTTTCCTCCTAGCGATGGAGGGAAATTTAAAGCCACTTATTGTTAAACTTGAACTGCACTGAAAGACGTTTTGGAGGATCAACCCTCATAAAAAATCTTTCATATAGAAAAGAATGATTGTGACCGTTGCAGTTGTGCAGCTTTTGAAGTTGCGGTGCTGAGTGGTGACGTTGGCCTGATGGTTTTTGCAGATCGGAGATGTCTCCTTGTGAAGGTTAACAACTTCCTGTGTTCCTGATTGTTAAAGAGCGATAAAGCATCCCTCTGTCAGAGCGAAGGAACAACTGTCAGTCTTGTTTTATCACATTTGATTGCAGCTGAGCTGTGGAGCATTTAACCTTTGACCTACTTACTTTGATGAGTGCTTTTCTTTTTTTTTTTTTTTTGCTTTAATGATTATTTTTAAATTCCTCTCTTCACTTGCTTTACTTGCTTCTCAGCTGCTTTAAACTTCTCCTCGGTCCTCCTGCTTCCCTCCTGTGACTCATGAGAAATGGTTTGTTTTTGTTCGCATCAGTTCTGCTGTTTTACTTTCGTGAAATCTGCTGCAGATGTTCGCGAGATTCCATCTTAGAGCTGTGATTATTAAACGCGTCTCCCCGGGTCCATCAGCCAGAGGGCGTGGAGGCAGGTTCTGACCCTGACAAGTGGCCTACTTATCAAAGCAAACACGTGGATAAGAAACAGATTTTAGAGGAGGCATGCATGCAGATGGATTTCCTGACTAAAAAGATAATTTTTTGGGTGTGTTCACCTTGAAAATTGCCCCTCACTAAGCTACAAATTCAAAAGGTCGTGCAGAAAATTTGTGCATTTCAACAGCTGCAGCTACGATCACATTCTCACTCCCAGCACGTCAAAAACAAACGCTTGGTCAGCCACCCTCCGCCTCAGACCCTTGACGCCAAAAGTGCCCTTTTTCGTCACTTATGTGCGAAAAGGGGTTTTCCCTTTTCTGACTGCAGATCCCAATGCAACGTGAAACTGACGCGATGGGATGTCCGCAGCCAGGGCACCAAACAAGCTCATTGTACCTCACCCTAACCTTATCCTCTTGTTATTTAACCTTCCCCTCACCCCTATCCTAACCTTAACCATCTTGCTAGCTAACACGATAGTGATGTGTCGGTCGCGAACGAACCGGCTCTAAGTGCCGGCTCTTTGAAGTGAACGACTGGAGCCGGCTCGTCATTGGGAGCCGTCCCCTCCCCTCCCCCCCCCCCCACCTTGGTGAAAGCTACAGGCGATTGGTCAACATGTGTAACTGCGTGTCCAGACTGTCCACACATGGAGCAGTAGGGGCGGGGAAGAGAGAGGATCATACTCAGACAGACACACAGCAGAGCACATGCGGGAGGAGGGAGACGAGAGGGAATGAGGAGGAGGAAAAAGGCGAGCGAGAGGGAGGAGAGCGTGACGAAGACAGTGAGAAAATGAGCGCCAGCAGTCGGAAAGTGGAGATTTCTTAAAGTGTTCAGTTATTAATTCCATTGAAATGATAAATATTTGATATATTGCTTTTTTTTTACATTAGTAAGTTATTTTACATATAGTTTAGCATAATTTTGGTTATAAATGTACTCTATTCAATTCAATTCAAGTTTATTTATATAGCGCTAAATCACGACAAGAGTCGTCTCAAGGCACTTCACATAATAAAAATTCCAATTCAGGTCAGTTCATTAAGCCAATCAGAAATAATGTTTCCTATATAAGGAACCCAGCAAATTGCATCAAGTCACTATACAGCAATCCTCATACCAAGCAAGCATAAAGTGACAGTGGAGAGGAAAACTCCCTTTTAACAGGAAGAAACCTCCAGAGAATCCTGGCTCAGTATAAGCAGCCATCCTCCACGACTCACTGGCTCTACGCAACAGAAAATCTGAGGAGCCACTTGGGAGCCGAAAGAGCCGGCTCTTTTTGGTGAGCTGAGCCAAAAGAACCGGCTCTCTGAAAAGAGCCGGAATTCCCATCACTAATGTGTAGGTCGCTCTAAAAGCCGGCTCTATGAAGTGAACGGCGGGAGCCGCCTCGTCATTGGTCGGGTTTGGACCGAGCCAACGCGAGGGGGAGGTTTCCGCTACCAAGGTGGAGGTTAAAAGTAGAGGGTATTTGTAACCTCCCCCTCGCCAGATGGCATGTTCTAACGTTCCCCTTGGGCGGCAAATACGAAAGTTCACAGTCCGAACGCATGGGAAACAAATGCTTGATCACAGTGAGAGTAACGTTTTAGGTAGCAAGAGGGTTAAGGTTAGGATGAGGGAGAGGGGAAGGTTATAAATAGTAAAACGTTAAGGTTTAGGTGCGGTTAAATGAGCTGGCTCTGTGCCGCATCAGCGGACATCCCATCGCGTCAGTTTTACGCTGCATTAGGATCTGCAGTCAGAAAAGGGGAAAACCCCTTTTCGCACATAAGTGACGACAAAGGGCACTTTTGGCGTCAGGGGTCTGACGCGGAGGGTGGCTGACCAAGCGTTTGTTTTTGACGCGCTGGGAGTGAGAATGTGTTGTTTGATTGGAGCTACGCTAATTTAGCAACACCAGATGTTCTCCTTCAGACACCACAGAGCTTGTGGCTGTGAGGCGGACACATCTACAAAACGTGTTGTGTTAAAGTGGCTTATTGCATTCCTTGTGTCTCATTTCATCAAACTGTAATAAGATTATCATTCACTCAGAACAATAACTCTGTGGATGCTTGCCCTTTGTTTAACATGTTTGTCTATTTGAGTGGAGAAACTGGGAAACCACAGTGTGTCTCATTTTAAGCAAACAAGGTCATTTCTGTTGGGAAATCAGCACTTATTATTTGTATTTTGTCTTTTTTTAAGGGAAATGTGACCCAAAAACGACTAAATGAGGTTATAATAATACTCCTCTAAGTGTGTGATGAGTTCAAGTTAGTTTGTCATGAATCTAGTTAACAAAAGTGTCAGGTTTTGTGTTTGTTGGTGTGCTGCGGTTCGGTCAGTGCAGTAAACGTCCTGCAGGATGAGGAGTGTGCCAGAGGGCGGTTTAAACCTCTGCAACCAGGAGGATCACGTGACGCACAGCAGGTCCATCCTGACCAGAGCATATGGCCATGTTCCTGCCCCCGAGGTCATTTAGAGGATTATCATCAAATCAGTCATTATTGCTTTGTTTTATTGTCAAATAACAAAAGTCTGCCTTATTTCAGTTGTATGGAGGTGTTTTCTCTCAAAAGTTAAACATTTTACCTCTTTATTTTTTATTTTTTGTCCTCTTGTAGATTTCGGAGAACTTCTACTGTGATCTCAACCCAGAACAGTTCAAAAACTTCTTAAAAAATCACACTCCTAACGTGGATCCCTCCACGCTGGCCAGATCTGGCATCTTCTCAGTCACTTATCCTTCTCCGGACATATATCTGGTCATCAAGGTAACATTATCGATTACATTTTTTCTCGTTGGCTTTAAATCTCCCTGTAATTTAATGCATGCTTGCATATTTGCCAGCAAAGTATGGATTTGTGGCGCCTAAATGTGCTGATCTTCTCAGACCTTGTGTGCTTCCTGTGCGTGTGTTTCAGATTGAGAAGGTTCTGCAGCAAGGAGAGATCAGTGACTGCGCTGACCCTTATATAACAATGAGGGAGAGTGACTCTGCCAAGGTAGTGTGACGGAGCAATTTCCTTTTTCTGCCACTTTGCAGAAAAATGACATCCACTTGGCCTTTTGTCATCCTCAGCTCCCATAAATGCTCAGTGTGTGTGTGTGTGTGTGTGTGTGTGTGTGTGTGTGTGTGTGTGTGTGTGTGTGTGTGTGTGTGTGTGCGTGCGCGCGATCTTTGTTGCTACAATTGACAGTGATGCATTCTGGGTGAAATGTTTTACAGAACAAGGACAAACTGGAGAAGTTGCGTACCCAAGCTGAGGCTTTCTGCCAGAGACTAGGGCGCTATCGCATGCCTTTCGCATGGGCGACCGTCAACGTCATGGAAGTCATTTCGACCGCCACGATAGACCGTGATGTCACAGACTCGGATAGCGCCAGAGGAGGTGTGTTTTAGTTAGTCAGAGGGAAATGAATCAGCCTGGGTCAGAAACGAGGAGGCCTGGAGATGACTTGTTTCCTGTATTTGGGTTCTGCTTTTTTAGGAGGCTAACCCCCAAATTCCACTACCTCCGCTCCGGTCCGCCCCCGCCTTCCGCAGCCGCTCGCTTCCAAACTCAATTTTTACTGGTATCCGCTCTACAACACCTCCGCTCCGGTGCGGAGACCTGAGGGGGGCAAACAAGCATGCGCGGGATTTTCGAGATCTTGCGATACAGTCCGAGCAATAAACGCGGAAGTTAGATTCAAACACCCGTTGTGTGGGAGAAGCATCGGCATGAACTGTTTAATCTGCCCATCATTTGTGTTGAGAGATCAGCAGTGTTTGGATCAACAAAGTGTGACTACTTTGATAGTGGAAACTGTATTTATGGTTTACTTTTGTGCATTTAAACTTCAGCCGCCATTGATAGTTGTTAAAAGTTGTTAAACCTGTGCATATGAAACAAAAAACGCCTTTTGTTGATCGATTTATTGTGAAAAACGGATGTTGTGCTTGCTCCTTTTCCTGTTGGGCAGTTGTGATTTCTGTCCATTTACTGCGGAGGTGCTCCGGCATCCGGCGAAAATAGGATTGATTCTATTTTTGCCGGACGCCGGAACAGAGGGCGGCGCACGGCGCCGCACTGCCGGAGCACGGCCGCAGTAGTGGAATAGCTCTGATTGACTACAACGGGACCGATTTTGCTCCGGCGTTCGTGTCGGAGCGGAGGTAGTGGAATTTGGGGGTAAGAGCAGAGCTGATTGTTTAAAAATCACAAACGTACGCGATTCTGAAAGCTTTGTTTTCTGCATAGCGCCCAACAGCAATAGTCCTAATCACAGGCCAGCAGGGTTTAAACGGACCAATCAGGAGAAGCAAGTGTCTCAGCAGGCCGTTGTAACTAAACTGAGCATTCTAGGGTGTGTGCACGAAAACATCAGTGACACAATAAACAGTTCAGATATTTAATTTTTTAAAATGTGGTAAAGTTTAAATCCAAACCAAAATTCCCCCTCTGAAGGACGATAATGATAGAATGTTCTATTCTATTCTGTTCTATTTTACAAGTGAGTTGCCAGAATTGTCCCATTCCTCTTACTGCTCACAATCTTTGCAGTGCATAAATAAAAAAGTACTTTAAAGGTTAATTTTGTTATTTCTTACATAAATATTTGTCTTCTGATTACCCAGAAATGGGTAAAAAAACATGAATTTACCAGCGAATCAGATTATTTTGTGTATCATTTGATCTGCTGTGTGGTTATTTTTGTTTTAAAGGTAAATCCAGCAGCATTGACCGAAAATCGCAGCTTCCCAGGAGGAACTCGGAGCGCTTTAGTACCATGGACGATCAGTTTTGTAACGTTTCTGGATTTAAACCTGCCACCATCACTATCACCACCATCTTCAAACAGGTCAGGCCATCATCCTCTCCTTTCATGCAGACAGATGCAAATCTGTGTGATATTTAGACAGGCGTGAGGTGTGATTCAAAACATGAACAAGGCTGCAGTCTCAGCTTGGCCTTCGGTCTCTCTGGTGAACCAAAAATGCACAAAAAAGAATCCTTCAAAGATTCTCTATTCTGTCTTATCTGACTTTTTAATGTGGAAAAAAAGTGTGTTTGTGTGCTTTAGGAAGGAGATCGTCTAAGTGATGAAGATTTGCTGAAGTTCCTTGCAGAGATAAAGAAAACCTCGACTCCACAGCGAAGAATCAAAACCATACCAGGTCATTTTTCAGTACATCTTTAAAAACATTTTCTGAAAGTTTCTTGTATTTAAAGGGGCATTATGGAAGTTTGACAGCCAAAACATGTAAAGAAATAATAAATTTCTTCTTCATACATTCTCCTGCAATGCCCTGGTCCTGTAGAATGAGCCCTGGCATTTTTACTGTGATTGCCTGTTTTTCTGTGAAATCACAGAAAAAGAGAGATGCTCGGGTCGAGCAGGCTGCTTCATGCGCGTTCACGCTCAGGCATCGCCCGTAGCATTTGCTATCCGTAGCTTTAGCAGCAGAGAGAGAGGCAGTGCCACTTTGTCGCTGTTCCTAATGCCTAGTGACAAAGCTAGCTACATTTCTGAGGACCCTTAGCTACTTTCTGTAGAACTTTCTTCTAGATATTTCCTGCAAATTAGCAACAAAATAGCCATTTTCACTCCGAACCCTTCTTTGGTTTGACGTTGTTTCAGCTGTCATCAAGGATATAAAAGTTACAGATACTGTGAATGTTACTAGAGTGTAGCTCACATTGTAAGATGTCTGACTCCCATGCAGAAGACCTGGGTTCGATTCTGGATGTGAACATAGTTTATTTAGAGTTTCTTTTTTACATTAATGGTATATTTTTTTTACAGTAAGAATCCCAAATTTTTATTTGAGACTTGCCGAACAGCATTGAATTCACAGATAAAACAGATGTGGGTTCAACTTTCATTTTGGAACAATTTTTCAAGCAAGGGAAGGGAATGATCTGAGCATGCAGGAGGACTGACCCATCATAAACCTTTGTCGGCTGTGCTGAAGAGAAAGGTACAGAACCAAATTATTTAATTAATTAGCTGCGCGTTCTCCTGACCTCTGTCCTCCGGGCCACACACACACACACACACACACACACACACACACACGGGACTGTCTCAGCTGTTATTTTCGTTAAGGAGTGTGCACGTACAGCATGCGCGCCTCGTGCACCAGCCTACTATTGAAGCTGCCGTTACGCTTTTGGCCTGAGGGGGCAATCGCGAGCATAAAAATTCAAAAGTCCGTAAAGTCTCTTGAAGTTTATTTATTAGGAAAACACAATCCTTTTCTGATTTAATGTTTTACGGATTTCAGTAGAATGACGTAGTGACTCCGGCTTTATTCAGTCTGCTGCTAACTTTGACACTGTAAATGTCTTCCAGGCTGCATAAAGCTGGACATGTCTCCTGTCCACGACACTCCAACGGGCTGTTTATCCACAGAGCTCATCCCTCTCATCCCAGTGGCTGAGAAAAACATCAGACCAGTTAAAGAAGTGCTGGAGTTTCCCTCCAGTGAGGTTTATGTCCCTCACAACATCTACAGGTGGGGATTTTTTTGAATCCTCACACTTTTTCCTACTGGAGTCCACAGAAAATGTACTTTAATTCAAACTGTGTCTTTTTTTAAGCTTCAGAAAGTTAAACTGCTTCTGCCAGAGTGGCGTCCTTGCAGAAGAGAAAGTAAATGAGTCTCAGTAGGAGGGCTCAAACACGTTTGTTTGCTTTCCCAGAGATTATTACTTAAAAATGCCCGAGGCAACGAGAACACTCAAAAGCCGACTTTAAATATGACCTTTTTTCTGGAAAACACTCCTGTGTTTCATGTGTTTATTTAAGGATCTAGTTAGAAAAAGTGAACAAGTTTGGGGGAATTTTTTTTTAATGTTTGATTAAATCTGCAAAACTTCTACTTTGCACAAGTGAAGGAAACCACATTTGGCCAACTGCTTAGATTTCTAATGTAAATGTCTGTTTCCAGTTTACCATACATTCTTCTGTAGAGATGCTGCCATCTAGTGGTGCATACTTGAACTCTTAGTTTCATCTGCAGACTAATTTGTATTTTCTCTACAATAATCTAAACACAAACCTCTCCTCCTGCACAGGAACCTGCTCTTCATCTACCCTCTGAAGCTGAACTTTGTCAACAGGCTGACATCTGCCAGAAACATTGCCATCAAAATCCAGTTCATGAGTGGTGAGGACCTAAGCTGCGCCATGCCTGTGAGTACCACAGTTTCTACCTATCCATCCATCCATCCGTCCATCAGCGTCTGCTTATCCAGAGTCGGGTCGTGGGGGCAGCAGCCTAAGCAGGGAGGCTCAGCCTTCCCTCTCCCCAGCTACTTGGGCCAGCTCCCAGAAAACCTCACCAGGGAGGTGTCCAGGAGGCATCCTAGGGCTGGGCGATATGGACCAAAACTTATATCTCGATATCTTTAAGCTGAATTCCGATATACGATATATATCTCGATATTTTCCTCCTGTAAACTGTTGACAAGTTAACTCACTTCAAGCTCTTGAGAAATTATTTACATAAATCAGTAGGTTAAATGCATAAAAATGTATTGATTCTTGTCAAACTTTAACCGTAGTGCCTATTCTCTACCAGTCTGAGCTTTAGTAACACAGGTACAGCTGTCTGCTAACACACACACACACACACACACACACACACACACACACACACACACACACACACACACACACACACACACACACACACACACACAGTTGAGAGCCAGAGGTGTATCAAATGTCCCACAGGCACTTTTTAATTATATATTTATAATTAATGTCAAATTATTTAAATTTCATCTAGAGGTGGCCCATATTGTATAGGTCTTGTCCAGAGAAAAAAAATCCATAATGTTAAGCTAAATGTACAATGATGTAATTGCATCTACTGAAGATCACATGGGTCATGCACCATGGAGTTATTAGTTATTAGAAAAACTAGTTATTAACTAGTTGTTATTTATTAGTTAGCAGTGTTGGCTCATATCAGCGATTATACTGTAATGATTCAGAGTCTCTGGTTGCTCTTTTATGAGTGTTATTTTCGGGCTACTGTCGCCATAACCAACACCTTACAAACTCAACTTTTTTATCAGAATCACTCGTAACGGAGTGTTTACTAGCATAGCAAACCAGAGCGGAAAAAAACGGAGCCGGAACAACATTTCTCACCCGTTGAGTTCGCCTTCAAAATAAAACGGTAACCCTATAGTTTACTATTCAAACCCTTAAATATGTTTCAGGTCATTTGGCCACTCCGGCTTTCCGTAGCCGTTTCCTCATTACACAGGGGAGGGAGGGGTTTGGCTCGTCTCTCCGCAAAAGCAGGATGGAAAACAGAGCTCAGTTGGCATTCAACGTCCCCAAATAATTAAAAACCAGGAGGCCAAATGCAAAGTTTAGAGCAGCACATTTACCCAGAGGCTCTCAGACTGAGCAAACTTGTGAGAATACACGTAATAGCCGCTTAGAGACGGAGCAACATGTCGCTAGCATAGTGGCTAATCGCTAGCATAGCAGTTTTGCCAGTTATATCGATATAAAGATATAAAGTCATCTTATATCTTGTTTAAAAATTATACAGATATTTAAAGAATATCGATATATCGCCCAGCCCTAAGGCATCCTGACCAGCCTAACCTGCCTCAACTGGCACCTCTGGATGTGGAGGAGCAGCAGGTCTACTCGGAACCCCTCCCGGATGACCAAGCTTCTCACTTTATCTCTAAGGGAGAGCCCAGACACCCTGCTGAGAAAACTCATTTCAAACGCTTCTATCGGCGATCTTGATCTTTTGGTCACTATCCAACGCTCGTGACTGATCGTTAAATCGAGAGCTTCACCTTCCGGCTCAGCTTTCTCTTCACCACCACAGACGAGTAAAGCCTGCATGACTGCAGACTCGGCATCGATCCACCCATCTGTCCCTCTCTCCATCTTTGCCTCACTCGTGAACAAGAACCTAAGAAACTTAAACTCCTCCACTTAGGGCAGGGGCGCCTCCAGAACATTTTGATAGGGGTGGCCAGACGGGGCCAAAGAAATTTTTGGGGTGGCTCACCAAATTGGTCCTTGTGGTAACTCTGGTTGAATTTAGTTTGTGGCGATGTACTGCATTGCACCTTTGTTTGTTTTTATTAAAATAGCAATACGTATCCAAAACATTTAACTTAAAATTTACAAACACAAACATTTTAGAAAAATACCATACCATACCATATTTATTTATAAAGCACCATTTCAAAATAGCATGGCAGCTAACCAAAGTGCTGTACATAAAAAAGCCAAATGCTTGAACAAGAAACACAATAAGAACAGGCAAAATACATAAGAACAAAGCATAAATAGTCGGAGATAAAAATCCCTACTAAAAACAATAAAATAGGAGAACAGTTAACAGCACTATAAAAATAAAATAATGCGAGGAATGATAAAAACATTTGAAATGGCACAAATAAAACGAAATAAGCTACCAGATGGTGCGAGGTGCCAAAAGTGTGCAACTGAATCATAAAAACAGAATTAAAAACTCAAATCCGGTGCTAGATTTTCATGAAAAGTGTCACAGAGGGAAGGCAATACAAAAGAAGTGCGTTTTCAGGGCCAACTTGAAACTGCTAACAGAGGGAGCCAGGCACGCACGGAGGGGCAGAGAGTTCCAGAGTTTTGGGGCTGCATAAGAGAAGGCACGCTCCCCCCGTGATTTGTACCGAACCTTCGGAACAACAAGCAGCTGATGATCTGCTGACCGAAGGGCACGGGTGGGAACATACGGGGTCAGCAGGTCCGTCAGATAGGATGGGGATGGGTGGTACAAAGCCTTGTAAACATATAACAAGACCTTGAAGTTAATCCTAAATTTGACTGGGAGCCAGTGTAAATCTGCGAGGACGGGTGTGATGTGCATGCGTCTGTCGGTGTTGGTTAAAAATCTGTCAGTTATTTAAAATGTTATCCCAAATTTAATGAGTTAATTCACCTGTTGCTGTGTTCACAAAAAAAAAAAACTATGGAGATAAAAACTTATTTAAAATGGTGAGCAGCAGAAACATATGTATTTTTTTAATTCTGATTATTTCGTTACTCATTAATAGTAGTATTTTTATTTTGTTTTGCAATTATGTCTTGAATGAACAAAATCAATATATGGTTTGACTGAACATTAATATGATTTGTTAACACTTCCTTTTCCTGTGGGTGGGGGCAGCAATTTTCGAGGGGTGGCCATGGCCACCCCTGACCACCCCTTGGGGGCGCCCTTGCACTTAGGGCAGGACCTCGTCTCTGACCAGGAGAAGACGTTCTGCCCTTTCCCAACCCTTTTCCAACCCTTTTCCAACCACAGGTTATCCCTCATTGATGAGGCATTTCACAGTACTTTGGTGTCAGTACTGGAGGTGCACACACGTCCTGTGTGAGAAATGTGAATGTTTTTGTTATTGTGTGTTTATTTTCAGGTCATTTTTGGGAAATCCAGTGGCCCTGAGTTCTTAAAGGAAGTTTACACCGCTGTTACCTACCATAACAAGTAAGGAATCTCTTCAGGTGTTTGTTTTACTTTTTTTTTATTCCAAATCCTCACAAATCCAACTCTGCTCTTCCATCCCTGTCTTTCTTTTTGTTTCTCTCAGATCTCCAGACTTTTATGAGGAAGTGAAAGTCGCTCTTCCCGCCCGTCTGACTGATAGACATCACTTGCTGTTCACCTTCTACCACATCAGCTGTCAGCAGAAACAGAACCTGGGCGGCAGCTGCGAAACACTCATCGGCTACTCTGTGAGATATTTTCTACCAAAGAAAAACTGTTTTCCACGTTCTCCTCTAATCTTTTCCGCCATTCCGAATCGGCTGTTTGTTTCTGACGCAGTGGCTGCCCATATTGAACCGGGACCACCTGCAAACGGGTCAGTTCTGCCTACCCATCATCTTGGATCGGCTTCCTTTCAACTACTCGCTGCACGCGCCAGAGGTAGCCACACCATCTATCACGGCTGTCTCTAAATGATGCTAAAAGGAGCAAAACGTGTCAAAAGAAAAGGGATTTATTGATTTGTTCACAATTCTTGTAGAAACTTCCTCCTCAGGCTCCTCCTGTTAAGTGGATGGAGAGTCATAAAGAACTCTTCAACTTGGAGATCCAGGCGGTATCGTCTGTTCACAGCGAGGTGAATAATACCCGAAACTGTCTGTTTGTTCCTGTGAGCTCGACACTGTAACGGTTTACCCGTCTCTTGCACCAGGACAACCACCTGAAGCGTTTCTTCACCCTGTGCCACGCTCTGGAGGGCGGCGTCACCTTCCCTCTCTGGGTCATAGGCGAGAAGATTCCCGAGAACAAGCTGGAACACGAGCTGAAGCTCAGCATCATAGCTCTGTCCTCCTCCAGGTTGGAGCCTTTGGTCCTCTTCCTCCACCAGGTGCTGGATAAGCTCTTCACCCTCATCATGCAGCCCATTCTCATCGCCACCCAGACCGGTAGGGGGACTGTCTTTAATACAATGTCGCTGCTTGGAATTTTTCTTCTCTTGTAAATACGATTTGTGATTCCCGCTCTTCAGCCAACTTGTCCCAGATAGCCTTTGAGTCCCTGGCGTCCATCGTCAACAGCCTTCACAACAGCCAGGAGCTGATCAAAGATCATCTGGGCCGGAACAGCCTCTTGGTGACCTACCTGTACTGGGTGTTTCGTGTTCCTGATCCCCCTCAGGACACGCATGGCTCAGGTACTGGCCAGAGCCATTCATCGTGACTTTGAGCGTCGTTAATTTGAGGATGACGTTTTCCTCCCGTGTGAATGCACATCCAGGTCCAGGTGGTTCCATACCTTCGTCAGAGAGTCGGTACAGTACGATGGGCCGCGCCACGGCGGCCTCAGTGGGGAACATGCTTCTCCAGTCCAGGTTTCGCAGCAGCAGCAACCCCGATATCCCCTCTCAGCAAATATCAGCGGAAGACGCAGAGGTCAAAAATATTCTCTCTGCCAAGGTACTGATGAATTTTATGAAACCTCACCATCGTTCATACCAACTCCATGTGAGGGATGTTAAATTTAACACATTATTCCTCAAACTCCTAATTGAATAATGGAGTTGCTTTTTTTTTTCTTAAATTTTCCATCAAAACTAGATTTAAAGTGGGCGTTCACTTGCTGTTTCGATTTGCTTTGGTCTCTGGTATGAATGACAGTCTTGTGAGTATGTGGGGGGAAAAAACTGGCGCTCCTGTTTCAGGAAGTAGAGGTTAGCCAGAGGAGTGGGAAGGTGGATTTTGGGTCTTACCCAGGGTCCATGGGGGCATCAGCAACGTGGAACGGCAGCGGAATGTCGCTGCTTCAAATAAAATCCATAATAGACTACGGGACTGATCCAAACCAGCCACAGCACGTAACGTTTCAGGCAGCAGCTTGCCACGCCGTGCCGCTAAGTCTTGCAGAGATGTGATGTCTTACCTGTCTAGCTAATATCTGTACCTTGCGGCTTATTTACTACCAGTATCTTTCATGAAGACGTAATGGTGTGTTTTTCTTTGTGGACGTGATCCCTTTTTTCTTCTCTTTGCTTTAATGGTGGATGAAGTCTCGGGGAATTTGTTGATTTTGCGAGTCAAGCGAGGAGAACTGCAGAGATGCCATGCTGCTCTTAGTGTGGACTGACCCACCTCGGGAAACCGTCCCGCTGCTGTTCCCGAATGCTGATGCCCCCAGTGTGAACTTGTGGTTACTCATTAATATTCCTGATATTCCTGAGGATCAGCACCTCCAAATCTGAGACCACGGTTCTCGACCGGAAAAGGGTGGCTTGCCAACTCCGGGTCGGGAGAGAGGTCCTACCTCAAGTGGAGGAGTTTAAGTATCTCGGGGTATTGTTCACGAGTGAGGGTAGGAGGGATCGGGAGATCGACAGGCGGATTGGTTCGGCGTCTGCAGTGATGCGGACGCTGAGCCGATCTGTCGTGGTGAAGAGGGAGCTGAGTCAGAAAGCCAGGCTCTCGATTTACCGGTCGATCTACGTCCCAATCCTCACCTATGGTCATGAGCTTTGGGTAATGACCGAAAGAACGAGATCGCGGATACAAGCGGCTGAAATGAGTTTCCTCCGTAGGGTGGCCGGGCTCAGCCTTAGAGATAGGGTGAGGAGCTCGGACATTCGGGAGGGACTCGGAGTAGAACCGCTGCTCCTCCGGATCGAAAGGAGTCAGTTGAGGTGGCTTGGGCTTCTGGTCAGGATGCCTCCTGGACGCCTCCCTGGGGAGGTGTTTCGGGCATTTCCTGCCAGCAGGAGGCCCCCGGGTCGACCCAGGACATGTTGGAGAGGTTACATCTCCAATCTGGTCCGGGAACGCCTTGGGGTCCTGCCGGAGGAGCTGGTGGAGGTGGTCGGGGAGAGGACGGTCTGGAGCTCCCTAGTTGGGATGCTGCCCCCGTGACCCAGACCCGAATAAGTGGAGGAAGACGACGACGATTCCTGATATTTGAACATCTGACCTCTGATTGGCTAACAGCAACGTGACCCTTCCACTGCCTTGGTTAAATCTGCTATACATTGATGTTTTATGGTAAATGGCCTGTACTGAATAGCACCTTCTTAGGGTTCTACAACCCCCAAAGCCATCACAACACAATCAGTCATTCACCCAGTCACACATACATTCACACGCTGGTGGGGATGAGCTACGATGTAGCTACAGCTTCACTCTGACTTAGAACTGTGTTGCTTTTTCTGACCCAGGCATTTCTTTGTCTGTTTTCTTTTAGCGGCTAATGCAGGAAAACGGTAGAAGGCTGCTTTGGTTTTACGCCAAAACAAAACTAAGATGCACAACCAAATTTTTTTTTCTGGTTTTGAAAAAAGAAAAAAATGTTTTAAGCAAAACAATTTCATTAAAATGCAAAAAAATATATAATTTAATTCACTATTAAGCCTTTAATAAATGTAATACATATACGATGTTTATTTATTTATTAAAAAAATATTCGGTTTGCAGTTTCTCAATTTTTTCTTTTTAAAATTGATTAGTAAAGAAACAAAATACCAACCTGTCTAAATAAGCCTAAAATAGTGTGTAAATTTCCCAGCATGCCTGTTTATACTCCTTAATATTCATCCCAGTACATCAGGGTCTATAAAAGTCCAGCAGGCATCCTCAGTAATTATTTCATCATCACATTATTTATTTTTATCCTAAGGGCAACAACAACCCCGGCAGCCGCATGTCCACCTATGTGGATGTCACCAACCATCAGAGCTCCACAGGAAGCAGTAGGCCCTCCAGCAAAAAGGTACTGCCAATAAAAACAAAAACCTTCCAGACACTTAAATATGTTTGTTTTAGTGGCTTGTTTTTATAAACAAATAAAATAAAATTTTCTGTCAATAGTTTATTTCCTATTGTTGCTAATGATTGGGATATCTTGGTTTCAGCATTTATTATAACGTCAAGGTCAAGTTAGTGAAATATTTATAATCTCAGCAATAATGTAGCTGTTTAATAATTTTACTATGTTCATATGAAACTTTATTATGTTTTGACTAGTTTTTGTAGTAATGTGTCAATAAAATCTAGTAAATCATCAGTTTCAGCAGTTCATATTTGCATTCATAAGCTGACCATTTCTCAGAAAAATATAATACAAGTGATTCAAAATATGCGTCTTTCATTAAACAATTGTCGTTTCTGTTGAATGTTTTTCTGTCAAAACTGCTTCTATAAGGTAAACTCATTCAAACAAATCAACGAAATATGTTTTTGGGGCAATTTCTGGATGACAAAAAAATTTAAAGCCATTTTGCGATCTAAAGCATGTAAATTTATCTTTTATTACGGGTTTAACTTCTTGTGTAAAAATCTAATACAGTAAAAAATAACTTAATCTTTTTTAGCTAAGTCGAAGGACTTTTAAAACATAATAGGATTAAATCAAGATTATATAGAGATCTCTAATGGTTACTTTATTATTTTATGTGACGACTCATGCACAGTTAACTGAATGTGTTCTCGATGAATAAATCTTTCAGCCCCCAGTTTCTTCTGCAGACCACAAGGTGGCAGTCTAACACCGAGGAACCTGTCATTAGTCACATTTTTTACATAAAGTCTAGATTTTTGAAATGCATGGTAACAATATTCAGTTATATAAGAGACCAGAGACCAGAGACTGTATTTATTATTATGTATGCAGTATCTGTTAAACATAGTGTTTTTTTTTCCTCTTGCAACAGTTTCACGAGGAGCTGGCCCTGCAGATGGTCGTCAGCAGTAATGTCTGCAGAGAGAACACCTACAAATATTCCTGGTTCTTCTTTGAGCTGTTGGTCAGTGTTTGCCTAAATGTATTATTTAAATGACTTTATTATAGTTAAATATCAGCTTTTATTAAAAAAATCATAATAAATAACATATATTATTTCACGTTTGGTTAAACAGTTTAAAGGCTTTTATCTGAATAACAAGTGTGCAGAAAATATTAATATTCATGTTTATTTTCTAAACATTATTTGTGTAAGGGTACAATATGTAAGAATTCTCTAGTGAAATTATCACAAAACAGTCTAATGTCTCGATCGTGTTGGCAGGAAGGTTACATTGAAACCGATTTCCTAATCGGCCAGCTGGGGGATGTCCATTTTTCTCCTTTTTTATAAAAAGCCAAAGAGGGATGTAGTCATTGTTTGCCATCTGGGTTGCCAAATCTGCTCCAGCTAATATTGCCACATTTGCAGTTCGACACTGGCTGGCAAAAAGCTCCAGAGTTATGTACAGTATAACCAGTTAAAGGGGCATTATGGAAGTTTGACAGCCAAAACATGTATAGAAATAATAAATTTCTTCTTCATACATTCTCCTGCAATGCCCTGGTCCTGTAGAATGAGCCCTGGCATTTTTACTGTGATTGCCTGTTTTTCTGTAAAATCACAGAAAAAGAGAGATGCTCGGGTCGAGCAGGCTGCTTCATGCGCGTTCACGCTCAGGCATAGCCCGTAGCATTTGCTATCCGTAGCTTTAGCAGCAGAGAGAGAGGCAGTGCCACTTTGTCGCTGTTCCTAATGCCTAGTGACAAAGCTAGCTACATTTCTGAGGACCCTTAGCTACTTTCTGTAGAACTTTCTTCTAGATATTTCCTGCAAATTAGCAACAAAATAGCCATTTTCGCTCCGAACCGTTCTTTGAACGTTGTTTCAGGTGTCATCAAGGATATAAAAGTTACAGATACTGTGAATGTTATTACAGTGTAGCTCACCTTGTAAGATGCCTGACTCCCATGCAGAAGACCTGGGTTCGATTCTGGATGTGAACATAGTTTATTTAGAGTTTTTTTTTTTTACATTAATGGTATATTTTTTACAGTAAGATGCCCAAATTTTTATTTGAGACTCGCCCAATGGCATTGAATTCACAGATAAAAAAGATGTGGGTTCAACTTTCATTTTGGAACAATTTTTCAAGCAAGGGAAGGGAATGATCTGAGCATGCAGGAGGACTGACCCATCATAAACCTTTGTCGGCTGTGCTGAAGAGAAAGGTACAGAACCAAATTATTTAACTAATTAGCTGCGCGTTCTCCTGTCCTCTGTCCTCCGGGCCACGCACACACACACACACGGGACTGTCTCAGCTGTTATTTTCGTTAAGGAGTGTGCACGTACAGCATGCGCGCCTCGTGCACAAGCCTACTATTGAAGCTGCCATTACACTTTTGGCCTGAGGGGGCAATCGCGAGGATAAAAATTCAAAAGTCCATAAAGTCCCTTTAAAGGAGCAATTCAATTCATTTGTATTGCATCAAACCACAACATGAGTATCTCAAGACACCACACACAGTAATATTTCAGTTGAACCTACTTAGTGCATTGAGTTCTGTTCATTATGTCAATTAGTTAAAATTTTGTATATAAGGAAACCAGCAGATTACATCGAGTCACTGACTTGTTGTGTCAGTGAATTTACAGCAATCTCCATACTAAGCAAGCATGTAGTGACAGTGGAGAGGAAAACTCCCTTTTGAGAGGAAGAAACCTCCAACAGAACCTGGCTCAGCAGCCATCTGCCACTGGAGTTTGAAAAGTCAAGTCATTTCTTGTAACCCTTAAAAAGCCATGGCATCTTTTTGTTTATTTCTAATATTGGGTAAAGCAGGCTAGATGCTAACGTTGAGCTAACAATGCCAATAGTGAATTAGAAGCAAATAGTCAGCTTTAAAAATAATTCAGGCTAATTTTTCAGTGTTCCATTACCAACAAGTTGATATTACATTGAAATGTATTCATCAACTTATCAACTCACTGTGTAGGACTCATCTTCGCTCCTTATCTAGAATCATCAGGCACTGATCTATAACTGGCAACAGTTGAGGCCGGGCATAGGAGAGTCACTTTGTTTAGAAACAACTGCAGTACCTAAATTTGACCACACGATGTCATCCTTATTTCATTCTTACATCATGCACCTTTAACTCATTCACTGCCAGCTGTTTCCTAATCAGAAAAGCCCTTCACAGCCAGCGTTTTTCAGCGTTTTTACTGTCTCTGAGTCGCAGAACGTTGCGTGCTAGGATGATGTTGGCGCCAAAACTACCAAAACAAAGAGTAGACTCACCTCTTACATCAGGAAGAATCTGTGCGTTTTGAGCGTTTTCCGTTCTTTCCTAATCCGTTGTCGAATTGTGATCGGCAGAAGCTTTTCCTCTTCTTTTTTACAACAGCGGCCCAAAAAGATCTAAAACATGGATTTTCTGCATCCTGATCACGTGACGTGTGACGCACGTGGATAAAGATCGGCTTTACAGCTGAGATGTTTGTTCTCACGGTGCGATGGCGCGTTACGACGCCCACACAGTAAAAAATGAACGGTTGGGTTTAAAATGACGACTAAAGTCGTCAGTGGCAGTGAGTGAGTTAGCACAAGGCTTATTTTCTTGTCGTGTGAACTGATCAAATTAACTTGAGCTTAAACGGTAAAAGGACGCTTTTTAGCAATGTCAGGAATTTGTAAAAGTTGTCTCTGTGTTTATCCAGATTGTGTGTTTGCTTATAAAGTTTCTGTGCAATGTCCCAAACAGGTGAAAAGCATTGCTCAGCATGTGTCCCAGCTGGACAAGCACGGCGTTCCTCGAAGGAGTTGTTTCTCCGACAGGTTCAAAGATGACATCACCACGATCGTCTCCGTGGTTTCAGCCGAGATTTCCACAATCCTCGTCAAACAAAAAGTGGTAAAAAAAATAAAAATAAAACGAATAAAGAATGACGCAATAACAAAATTGTGATTTAAGTATATTTCACAACTTTTATATCAAATCCATGTGCCTCCTGTTCTGCTGGGATTGGAAAAGTTGCAGTTGGAGCGTACGTGTTGTCTGTGTCCTCCAAACAACGGGGAGCTGGAAGTGCTAATTATATTTGCCTCTGCTGTAACGAAAGCTCGGCTTGATGGAAAAGGTGTTTGGTGAGATCCGGTCACTGATTGCTGTTTGTTGACTGTGGATTCAGGAGTTTGAGTTGGCAGAGAAACTCAACGTCAGCCTGGCCTTCTTCCTCTATGACCTGCTGTCGCTCATGGACCGAGGCTTCGTCTTCCAGCTGGTGAAAAACTACTGCAGCCAGGTAGCCAGGTCATCAGATCCATGGAAAACCGTTTAATTTCACATCTGTACTGATTTAGAATCTGTAATGTAAATCCAATTTATGACAACCTTTTTTTTTTCCGTAGATGTCAGCGAGGAGCGTTTCTATGCAGGCGCTGATCAGCATGCGTCTGGAGTTCCTGCGAATCCTCTGCAGCCATGAACACTACCTCAACCTGAACCTCTACTTCAGCAGCCCTGCTTCCGCGCCCGCCTCGCCGTGTCCATCCATCTCCTCTCAGGTGGGTTCTCTTCACTCTCCAGATGTTCGACGTTCAGGCGATTGACTCGTCTCGTCAAGACGAAAGCATTCCAGGGTGCACCGTACACTAGCATTTTTTTTTTATTTGGGGGTTCTGAATGATTGGAAAGCAGAACGGCCAAACTAGAAGGTTGTTTAATAGTTATTTCTTTGTTTGCTGACGTTTTCTCACGTTTTCTTTCCAGAGCTCCAGTTCCTGTGGCTACCAGGAGCAGCAGAATATCTTGGCTCTGTTTGAACTTACCCCAGAATTCAAGCAGCAGCATTACCTCACCGGTCTGCTCCTAACAGAACTCAGCACAGCTCTAGACATGGAGTCGGAGGGGTAGAGTCCAGTACATGTCCTGTAAATGTTTAAACAACTTAACGTTTGATTCAATCAAATGATAGAAATGTGTGTTTTCAGGGGGAAAGTTCAGAGAAAGGCTATTAACGCAATTTACAGCCTGCTGTGTTCTCATGATCTGGATCAGCGCTGTGATAAACCTGAGGTCAGAGCCAAGGTGGCTGCTCTTTACCTCCCCCTGGTGGGGACCATTGTAGACTCCACCAACTACCTGGACTTCACTGGTATGTTCCGACTTGCACCATGTTTATGTTTTCTTTTTTCAGTTCTAGTTTTGTTGCTGATGAGAGGCTCTTGTGAAGTTTTGGAAGCTGAAAACTGATGTAGATCCTTTTGAATGAGGTCAAAAGTTAATTAGTTGCTTCTAATTAGCAATTATCCACAAACTTTGTTTTTCTACATAACTGCAGCCATCCATCTTCCGCTGTGCACATACAGATCTGATCCTTACATCTATTTTACCTCCAATTAAAACGATCACATTTAAAGCTGTAACTCCTCCCCAAGTCACTTTTTTTTCCTTCCATTTGTCGACCCTCATTTGTCTCACAGTGAGCGGGAAAAACAAGGCGAGCGAACCCGAGAATGACCTTGAAAGCGTCCCACCTATCAATCAGTCCGTTGCCATGGCGATTGCCGGGAACCCCTTCAACACGCTGGGTCGCAACGTCCTCGTCTCCATGGCATCCTTGGTAAACTCTTCATTTCTTAATCGTTTAGGACTGTTGCCGATTATTAAAGCGTTTTATTTTTTTATTTATTTTTTTAAATGTTTGGAAGTGCACGTGAGCACCTTTATTTGAGACCGTATCCGCTAGTGGTTTGCTTCCCCAACAGGTGAGCTGCGCAGATTCTGATTGATTAGCTGTCAGAGGTGCACATGCGCTTCATCCATCCTGAAAAAAAAAGAAAACACACACACACACACACACACGTGAAAAGCTCACATCTGTGGGAGATGGTATATGGGCAGGCATCGCCATCATAAGTGAACAGGGCTGTCCTCTCTGACAAACGCATCCATCAAGCGTGGCTACAGCAACAGCACAGCCACTCTCTTCCTCTCTCCCACAGATGAATCGGTTCCTTGTATGTTGTTGCAAGAAATACTGTTGTGGAAAAAGTGGTTTTCGCGTGAATGAGCCATCGCTCTGGTATTCGTCACAAAACCAAGCATGGCCGCCAGAGCGCTTGCTCCTCGTTCCCAGACGGTTCACCTTCAAAAGGAATATTTCTGAATCACTCACTCGTTACCGTCGAAGCGGGCTCTTTTTTTTTTTTCTCTCGACGTATAATTTGGAACAAACAGATGACATTTTAGTTTGCATGCTCTAATACGTGATGCTAATTTTGGTGAGCCTCACTCATGACCAGGTTCTAGGTGGGAGACCTGGAGCAGTGGGAGTTTAATGGATGCATTTATCAAAGCTGCCGCACAATGAAGCGGCAGTGGCCGTCTAAAGGGGCGATTCATCATCAAGCCAATGAAGGTAAATTAATCTGCGGTAGATTAAACACCCGCTGAGACGGGGAGGGAAAGCATACCTCGCTAACGCCTGAAAGAGCCGGCCAATCACGCGGGGCTTCATAGAAGCTGGTGGATGATGTACTGTTGGTCAGACTGATGCACTCTGTTATTTGATAATTAGAGGACTGACGGTTACAGATGAGCTTTTGTTGTTAAAGAGCAAGTCACTCCAAATCAACATTTTTTTTTGCTGATAAACTATATAAATGAGTGTCTGATCATGCTGCAGACACGTCTAGTCACTAATTCGGCACTTTAGTGCATCTTAGTTAAAATTTAAATATTCTGCCTAAAACTCAGCGATGCACCGTCGTCAGGTAAAAACTCAGCACTGCATTTGAATTTAAATCTGCCGTTGCTATTGGCTAAGAGGTACACTATGATGTTAGATGGTACATTATGATGTCACAATGTCGTGTGTGTATTTGTTAGCGGCTCCGCCCTCTCGGTCTGCTAGGCAACAGCATTTGTTGCATTTTTCAAACAGTAAGTGGGAGTTGAGTAAGAATCTGGTAGGGGGTGACTTGCTCTTTAACAATGCACGGATTTGTCGTGAACGCATGCGCCGATGCTGCACATTTCTAAATGTTATCGTTTAAATTGGCATCCTTGTCGTTTGATTTTCCCCCAGCAAGGTAAATCCGTCGCTACCCTGGCGGCGGACACGAGTCGCCACCTGTTGGTGTGCTTCCTGTGGGTAATGAAGAACGCTGATAGGAGCCTGATTCAGCGCTGGACTGTGAATATGCATCCATCCCACCTCAATAAGCTGCTGGAGCTCCTCACCATCTGTGTGTCCTGCTTTGAGTACAGGGTCAGCCAGTTGTGTTCTTTGCACCGCTGTCTTGCTTCATGTCGTTTTGCACTGACAAAAGGAGCCTTTCACGAAGGAACGGATTCCAGTTGTGTATCACCTGGACTTGCATGTTTATTGCTGCAGAATTATAAAACGTTGCGTGCTCGGTTTCCCACCTGGCGGTTGTGTGCTTGCAGGGAAAGCAGAGCAGTGACAAAGTGAGCACTCAGGCCTTGCAGAAATCTCAGCAGGTCAAACAGCAGCTGGAGGAAGCCCTGCTGAGAGGAATGGGAGCCCGCGGGGAAATGATGAAACGAGTTGGCGGTAGGACTTTTTTCTCGTTTCCTAAGAGATATTATTTTCTTGTTTAGTTTTTAAAAACAAGAAACCTCCGTGGGGGAGAAGCAACGTGTCTGCTAGTAACGAGAACAGATGTCTTGTCGTCTTTTAGGAGCAAGAGTTGATGGGTTTGGGTTTTTCTTTTAAACAATATTATTGAATAAAGTCTTTCCTTAAAGAGCAAGTCAACCCCTACCAAAGTCTCACTCCACTCCCACTTCATGTTTGAAAAATGCAACAAATGCTGTTGCCTGGCAGACCGAGAGGGCGGAGCCGCTAACAAATACACACACACACACAGGCTCACGACAGCACTGTGACATCATAATGTACGCGTTTACATCATAGCATACCTCTTAGCCAATAGCGGTGGCAGATTTAAATTCAAATATAGTTCAGAGTTTTTACCTGACAACAGCACAACACTGCCAGTTTTAGGCAGAATATTTAAATTTTAACTAAGATGCGCTGAAGTGCCAAATTATTGACGACACGTGTCTGCAGCACGATTAGACACTCGTTTATTTAATTTATCAGCAAAAAAAAAGTTTATTTGGGGGTGACTTGCTCTTTAATGCACGGACACTCCGTCTAGATTGTGTTAAATCCTTTTGATGTCTGTGCTCTCAAAATGATCAACCTCTGACAGGAACTGACAGGACTTTGGGTCAGAGAGAGAACCTTCGCTGGAGGAAGGATCGCACACAGTGGAGACAAACAAACGACAAACAAGATAAGTATGTGGTTTTCTCTGTTTTGTGACTTGTCTCCAAGCATATTGCACTTAAAAAAAAAACTTATTAAATCTTCCTTCAGATCTAAATCTGAATTGGACCAAGAGGCTCTGATAAGTGGGAACTTGGCCACTGAGACAAACCTTATAGTTCTGGACCTTCTGGAGACAATAATACAGGTCAGAGTTCTGTTCTACTGTGACGTATAACTACTCCATAGTCTCTATTTTGATAGTTTTGCAGATGTTTGGAACTCCTTTGTATAGATCTTTCTTTCTTTGGACGCCAGTCTATGTCAGGTGTTGGATGCATTTTTGTTTATTCACTTTTAGCACACGGGTGCAGCTTCAGACTGCTGTTTTGCAGTTCCTCTATGAAAAATTAAAGGCATTCTATGCAACTTAGTCATAGTTTAAAATCATTTTCTTGAGCTCCTATGTGCTAAAATGACCCTTTACAGGGTTAATGAAATGTCATTCAAAAGCCCCAATGCCCCCCTGTTGCTAGAATACCACACTTGCAACTTCAGAGTGGCTGGTCCTTGTTGGACTTAAGCCGGGCGTACACTGTGCGACTTTTTCACTTTATTGAGCCGATTTTCCAGTCGTGCGAGAATCCACGACATCGGGGCGAGTTTTGCGCCGAGCGGTCGTGTAGTGTACAGGGGGTTACGAGAGGCGATTAACACCACGTGACCAGCTGCCGATCAGCAGTCGTGAGGTCGCACGGACTTCTGGCGTGTTTAAAATTTCGCTCGTCCCTCGTGAGGGTATCGCACTGTTGAAGCGGCGCTGCGAGCAGCTGCGACCCAAAACGTATCAGAACCGCTCACGGCGCATGCGCAATCCTGCATCAACGCCGCTCGCTATTTCCCTAATAACACACGCTGTTCGTTTTTATTTCTACACGTTTTTTACTCACAAACATTGTCAAGAAAGTGTGTTTGTCGTGTTCATGTCAAATTAAACTGATCACTAAACACAGATTTACTTTCTTTATTTTGTTTTCCTCATCCAACCCCCATAAATCCCTGCGTGTCCTCCTGCAGCACTCCCGAAGGACAACAGGCAAAACAAGACAAAAAAGTCTGACGTGTTGTGTAAAAACGGCTATTTTTAGCATATTTTTAGGTCCGACGTGTTGCTACCAGACGTACAGTGTGAGCAGTCAGGTCGCATGCGAGAACTGGGTCGTACAGTGTGAGCACATGACTCGTGAGATCTGCTCTGCGAGGAAGTCGTACAGTTTGAGCTGAAGCTGAGTGCTACGAGTGAAAAAGTCGCACAGTGTACGCCCGGCTTTAGTAAAGTGGAGCTGACACGCCTGGTGCTGCAGTCTGCTTCTAGCTCATTTCCTGCATGTTGAACACAGCTGATTTGTCTGATTAAGTGATGAACTGCTCCTGTAGACGCTAATGAAGGCTGAGGAGACATTTCATCGGTTAAATTAAGGTGTAAAGATGAACGCACAGCGATGAGATAGGGTTCACTAACCTGACGCTAGCCAAAACTGCCTATTATCCTTTTAAATGTGTGCCAGGTATATTGAGGAATTAGAAATGAGCTGTACAGACTTTGGGTTTTCAGGATCTCCAGTGTGTTAAAACTGTGTTTCTGAGCTTTTTATATTGTCTCATATTAAAGATAACGGTATCTTATCACAATTTCTGCTTTGAACAAAACAGTAATGTTGACAAAATAGTTAAAGGTATTCAATCTTTGCATAACACACATTCACCATCATAGTTTCAACTTCTATTAGTAAATTATCATAATTTGGAGCCATTAAATTCATTTTTATCTTTCAAAGAAAAATGCTGATGATCAGCTCTTTGTATTTGCCTTTGAAGTTCATTCAGAGTTTCGTTGAGTGCATTAAATATTTAAACAAACCTCTGGTCATCTTTTTACAAAGGCTGTTAAAGTGCAAAAAAAAAAAAAGAAAAATCCAGAAATGTTTATTTTCACCAATAAAATCAAAACCATTCAACCCACCTCGCTCCCTCCCTTCAGGCGGTGCCGCTGGCAGATTGTAAAGACAGCGTCGTTGGTGCAGCATTGAAGGTGTTGCTGCACTCTCTCACCTGTAACCAGAGCTCCACTTTCCTCTTGCACACCTTCAGCACACTGCGATCACTTGTCATCAAGGTAGCGTCATTGAGACATGTCTGTGTGTTTCTTTCCTTTGCTAATATCTCTGAACGTTGACACCTTCGTGCAAACACATCTACCTGAAGTCAGAGCTCTTATTTGTTTGCATGGATGTTGCAAGCCATAATTACTTTTTCCACACATTTGCACATGCCCTGTACATTGGATGGCTGTTTGTGTGCAGTTTGGAGACCTGTTGTTTGAGGAGGAGGCGGAGCAGTGTGCCGACCTGTGCCAGAAGGTGCTCCAGTACTGCAGCAGTCCTGTGGATGAGAACCGGAGTCAGGCCTGCGCCACCCTCTATCTCATCATGAGATACAGCTACAGTAATGCTAATGTGAGTAGCCCCCCCCCCCTCCTCAAAAAAAATGCACACACGCGCAAACACACACAACGATGGGTGTGGGGTTAAATGTCTGTCCCATAACTGGGAGGTTGTGGGATTGAGTCTCTCGCAGTCTGTTGCAGTCGTGTCCTTGGTCAATGACACCTTAACCCGTCTTGCCTGCTGGTGGTGTCCAGAGGGACCAGTGGCGCCAGCGTACGGCAGCTTTGCTTCCATATGTGTGTCCCAGGGCAGCTATGGCTAAATTGTGGCTCATCATCGCCACCGTGTGAATGTGTGTGTGCATGGGTGAATGACTGATTGTGTTGTAAAGTGCCTTGGGGGGTTGTAGAACCCTAGAAGGCAATACTCTCTCTCTCTCTCTCTCTCTCTCTCTCTCTCTCTCTCTCTCTCTCTCTCTCTCTCTCTCTCTCTCTCTCTCTCTCTATCTCTCTCTCTATCTCTCTATCTCTATCTCTATCTCTATCTCTATCTCTATCTCTATCTCTCTCTCTCTCTATCTCTCTCTCTCTCTCTCTCTCTCTCTCTCTCTCTCTCTCTCTCTCTCTCTCTCTCTCTCTCTCTCTCTCTCCCCTAGACTTATCTAAACTAAAATTAATTAATTAATTCACACCATACCTCTAAAACAAAGTTTTAGGGTGCTTAGCAGTGTGTGGACCAGTAAAATGTCCACTTATGCTTATAAAGACATGTACACACACACACACACGCATAAATCAAACAAAATCCTGTTCACATGTTCTAGAAACACTCAGATATCATCTGCCCTTGCAAAAGAAATCCTGTTTACATCAAGTTAAATTGAATTCAGGATTTTGGAATGGTTTGGAACACTTTTTCTCATGAAGACCCCCCCCCCCCCCCCTTCCAAAAGCTGGGAGTCACTTAGATCTTTATCCCATCTCCTCTGCTCTTCCTCTCCTGCTCAGCTTTAATGTCTTTTCCACGTCTATTTTGAGCGTGCTGCAGAAAGTTCCCTCTGAAAGATGTGTCTCTAAGTGGAGTAGATAGATATGTCACTGTCTGCCTCCCCGTGTTCCTACCCCTCTTTAACTAATGACAGCCACCCCGTGTGTGTGTGTGTGTGTGTGTGTGTGTGTGTGTGTGTGTGTGTGTGTGTGTGTGTGTGTGTGTGTGTGTGTGTGTGTGTGTGTGTGTGTGTGTGTGTGTGTGTGTGTGTGTGTGTGTGTGTGTGTGTGTGTGTTAAAGTATTTGAGCCTCAAAAGGGGGTAAAAAGCAGGATTTCAGACGGGGGGCCCGGAGAGGAGCAACTCCTGATGGAGATGGAGGAGTGTTTGTAGCAGAAGTGAAGTGGTGATGAAGGGAAATGCAAAAGACGGATCTAAAAGGAGCGGAGGGATAAGCCGGAGCGCCTTGCGCCGCTTCGATTACTTCTGTTGCAGTCGATATTTCCTGTGTTTACATCTGTTTGCCGTAATGAAAGTCGCACGCTCATCTGTGGAGCGTGCTTCCACACTTATACAGTACCGGCGGTTTACAGAGAGTGTTTCCCCGCTGCGTGTCCCACTGTATGTTTGTTTATACGCCGTTTACAGAAGGAGCTGTGATCTGGATTGGCGTAGCAGCCGGATGACTCATTCATCCAGACTTTACTCTCTACCTCTGTCTTTGTTTACGTCTTCATGTCTCTGTCTACCCACGTATTTCTCTTTGTTGAACCTTCTTTAGGTTTGGATTATAGACACACACACACACACACACACACACACACACACACACACACACACACACACACACACACACACACACACACACACACACACGTCTCATTCTGGGACAGGAAAAAAGTGTGACAGAGCAAATAAAGGCCCAAAAAAAGGCTTTGTGTTGACTTAAACGATCATTTAGGTTGCATTTATTACACACACACACACACACACACACACACACACACACACACACACACACACACACGCTCTCTCTCTGTTAGAGGGCAGTGATGGGTGGTTAGGCTCTGGCTCCATGCTCAGTTGAACAGAATGGGGCCGTAGAGATGATCCATGGGTGATTATGTCTCTGCTAATGGGAGATCATTTCCCGCTTAGCTGGTCATGCTGGAGACGGATGGGACTTCACACGTACATGGGCACACTTTCTCTCGCACATTTACACCGTCCTCTCTGCAGACGAAGATGGAAGGGTGTTTATCTGGCCCTATTTTCTTGGCCAGGTTGGTTGAAGAGAAGAGAGAGATGGAGAAAGAAGACTTTTGTCTAAGAAGCACATTTTGTCTTCAGATTAATTTACCAAATATCATTTTCAGTTTATTGACCCAGTTCTAACGGCGCTGACTGTAGACAGAGGTCACCGCGACCACTCGGATTACTCTGTGCAGTGTTGGGAGTAACGCGGTACAAAAGTAATTAACTACTGTAATGCATTGCTTTTTGCTGTAAGGTGGTAATGTAAGGCATTACAGGGAAATAAAATGGTAATATTTACTCGGTAAAACAGTCAGTAACACGGTAATTACAATGCATTTTTAAACCCAGAATCAAGATGTTTTTTCCTAAAAATTAAAATTGCGGGAAGCCTGAAAAACGATCCAGTATCCACATATATGACGTCATTTATGGACTCAGCTTTGCGTGCATTCTATGAGCAGAGAGGACGCAGCGGTAACGGCTCAAATACTCCAGCTGCGTCCTGCGCACGGCCGCTGTTATATTCACAAAATCGCTCCACCAAAACAAAGTAATTCGTTTGCGATCGTTTATATCGGCCCATATTCTCTGGTACTTCATGTACTTTTCAGCTGAGTTCATAATCTGTGCCCCGGTGATTTCAACTCATTGCTGCTGGAGCGCAGCACATATTAAGCTTATTTTATTTATATATGTATTTTTTGCATTCGGTAGATCCCTTTGGCTGATCGTTAGAAAGTAGGAAATCAAGGAAACTGTTTTTCTGGAAGATGGAGAAAACATGCAGCATGCAGGAAGGTTAGAGAGAGAAAGGGCCGGAAATTATTCAAATAAAATCAAGAAAACAAAACAAAGTGCTTGAAAAGAAAAAAGTAAGTAGATTTATCACCAATACACATGTTTACCAGTGAAAAGCAATAATATATAAGCATTTAATATTTATACATGTGATAGAATCAGATCACCTCAGAAGTCAGTCCCACATCCAGGGCCGTATCAAGGCATTTGGTGACCAAGGCAAATATAGGCTTGGAGCCCCCACCACCTCACTCCCTGCTCAGTTAATCTAAGATGGCAGCGCGCTGAGTGTACAGATTGTTGTTGCTTTTATTTAATAAACAATCATTTTAAAGCACTGTTATTATATCTGACTGTTTTAACAGCAATCCTAGCTCAGACACCACATCACCTTCCACATATATGTCATGAGCTCACTGAGCGTCACATTACCAGATTCATATTGAAGTTGTTTTGGTGAAAGCAACTTAGAGTAATGCAAAAGTAGTGTAATGCCTTACATTTTAAAATCAGTAATATTGTAATGTAATGAATTACTTTAAAATGAGGGTAACAAGTAATAAATAATGCATTACAGTTTTGAAGTAACTTGCCCAACACTGACTCTGTGCAGCCCAACATGCTACAAGCTGCGACTCTTTGTCTCAAACTCTTCCTGTTGATGCTAAAGTGTAAATCTGTCAGGGTCTATTAAACTGTAGCTCTTTGTGGGGTCAGAACTCATTAGTGACTTTTTGTTCTAAAATCACACAAAGTTTTTATTTTATTATTTGAACACAAGCGCTGATTGAGTTTCACATGCAGACTAAACGTAAGAATAGCCTTCTACCCCTATTTCCTGCATTAGCTGCTGATAGAAAATAGGCCGGGTAATACTCGTGTCGGAAAGGAAGGCTGTATTTATTTAGAGAACATCTCAGATAGCAGAAGCTAAATGTTAGAGTTAGTGACTCCACAACACGTCTGAACTCCTCCAGATTTGTGGTATTTGTGGAGATTAAACATCAATGTTGTGAAGCAAACGGAGGCAGTGGAAGAGTGGTAATGCTGTTGGCCAATCAGAGGCGAGATGAACGAGTATCATGACTTTTAATTAGTAAGACCCTAAATCCTGCCCCTTCCTGCCTCCTTCCCCTCTGGAAAACCTGAAATCGGCGTTCCAGAGCTCTATCCCTCAGTTATTATCTCACAAGGCATTCATTCATACTAGAGACTACTGAAAAAAACGAGTTAGCCTGAAATATTCTCAGTAATTGTATAAGTAACACCTCTTTCCTGCAGGACAAGACAAATAAAAGGAAAAATATGAATATTGTTCTGTAAATAAATCCGAAATGTAAACAGTTGTTTGATGAATGTTTTTTTTTTTTCCCCCCTCAGAACTTTTCAAGAGTGAAGATGCAGGTCACCATGTCCCTGGCCTCCCTGGTGGGCAAATCCTCAGACTTCCAGGAGGAATACCTGAGGCGCTCCCTCCGCACCATCTTGGCCTACGCAGAGGAGGACACCGAGATGCAGAACACTCAAATGCCCTCCCAGGTTCACGCACACCACCGCGCTGATAAACTGCACATTTTATTCCAAGTTTCTATCATAAATTCGTACGTTTGTGTGTGTTTTTAAGGTGGACGAGCTTCTGAGAAACCTCAACAGTATTTTGTCTGACACAGTGAAGATGAGAGAGTTTCAGGAAGATCCGGAGATGCTTATGGACCTCATGTACAGGTGAAAATCTAAAGAGTCTGATATTTATATCACTTCTTTCTGGCCTCAGCCTGCAGTTCACTGATGGTTCTCATTTCTCTGTGGTCCAGGCTGTTTAGCCTCTGTTTGCTGCTCTCACTATGGCAACCATGTGGTAGCAGTTTAGTCGTCTGATCTGGCTTTGTGTATATGCAAATCTAAACAGAGAGCGTGTGTGTGTGCGTGTGTGTGTGTGTGTGTGTGTGGGTGTGTGCGACACCGTAAGGGGAAGCAGTGAGACAAAGAGCATACACGTGTTGTGGATTTAGCAACAGCATTCATTCATGCATCAGTTATCAAGAAAATACTGTTTTAGTTTGGTGATTATCTGTGAGAGAGCTCAATGATTACCTGTCAGCGTCACACTTGCCTTGACATCTACTGAACACACACGTCATTACCAAACACGAATCAGCTGTTGCACTCATTCTCTGGTCTAGTTTCGGGGGGATTTGCTGCATTTTGTTGATGTTGATAGTTCAACAGCGGACTTCTTCGTTCTCAGTCTTTGAGTTTATTTAGAAAAATGTTCATCTTTATGTTTTTAATGCTTTAAGGCAGGGGTGGGCAATCCTGGTCCTCTAGGGCCGCTGTTCAGCAGGTTTTAGTTGTTTCCCTGCTCCAACACACCCGGTTCCTAGATGAATCGCCTGTTCAGCCAACGCATTCTCACACCCAAGGCGTCAAAATATGACGCGTGTGACCAAGCCTCAATATATGACGATTCGGGACGCTCCAGCGCGTCAGGAGACGACGATCAGGGACACGCTGGATCACGTGGGTCCGCTGGCGTCACTGTTTGACGCGCGCGGTCACACGGACATTATTCCACTATTTAACCTTCCCCTCACCCCAATCCTAACCTTAAGGTCCATAAACTGCGACCTTAAGGTTAGGATTGGGGTGAGGGGAAGGTTAAGTAGTTCTAATGTCCGTCTCAGCACCAGCGCCGGATACCGACGCTCTGGGACGCTGCGTCAGCAGTTTGTCCCTGATCGTCCAGGATTTGGGCAGCAGTAGCTCAACAGGTTGATCGGGTTATCCAGTAATCGGAAGGTTGCAGGTTCGATCCCGGCTCCGGACAGAGAATTCTGTTGTTGTGTCCTTGGGCAAGACACTTAACCCACCTTGCCTGCTGGTGGTGGTCGGAGGGACCGGTGGCGCCTGTGCTCGGCAGCCTCGCCTCTGTCAGTGTGCCCCAGGGCTGCTGTGGCTACATCGAAGCTCATCCCCACCAGTGTGTGAATGTGTGTGTGAATGGATGAATGATACACTGTAGTGTAAAGCGCTTTGGAGTCCTTACTCTGAGAGGCGCTATACAAGTGCGGGTCATTTATCATTTTATCATTATCGTCGTCTCCTGACGCGCTGGGGCGTCCCGAATCGTCATATATTGAGGCTTGGTCACACGCGTCATATTTTGACGCCTTAGATGTGAGAATGTGTTGCTTCAGCAGCTCATCAGGCTCTGCAGCAGCCTGTTAATCCCCAGCAGATTCAAACAACTAAAACCTGCTGGACAGCGGCTCTCGAACTCACAGAAAAAATTCTAAATGTACCATTTCTAAAGTTGAATATTATTGTATTGTAAAAAGTTTTTTAAATTTAAATTAATAATATATTTATTTTACTGATGTTTCACTTTCTAGTTTTTTTGTTTTATCCTACTTTATTTTTTAGATTTTTGTTTCTAATTTTTACAGAAATTTCTAGTTTAGGCTGCTTACCAAGACTTTGAGTGTGCACAAGTGATTGAATATGGTTACCCAGGGTCAGCAGTAGCACTGTAAAGGTCACTAATTAGGCTTTAGAACAATACCAGTTGGTTTTCCTAAAGGGGAAAAATGACTGACTACAATAACCTGTCTGAACTTTTACAAGTAGCGTAAATGCAGCTAGACCTGTTCACTTATTCCTACATTTAAAAAAAATTGCATTAGATGAATTGTTTGCACACTTGTGACTATTTATTTGGCCAAGTTGTTCTGAAAAAGATTTAAATCCTAATTAGACTTTGAGATAATTAAATAGTTGGTTATTATGGGAAAATTGATCCCCCCTCTGCTCTGCCTCCAGGATAGCAAAGGGCTACCAGACGTCTCCTGACCTACGTCTGACCTGGCTACAGAATATGGCAGAGAAGCACACCAACAGGAAGTGTTACACCGAGTCGGCCATGTGCCTGGTGCACGCCGCCGCCCTGGTGGCAGAGTATCTCAGCATGCTGGAGGATCACACGTACCTTCCTATTGGAAGCGTCACCTTTCAGGTAAGAATTGAAAAGAAAATAATTCAAGCCGATGCACCGTAGTTATGTCTCACAATGAATTACTTAGGTTTTACCGAATAGAGAAAAGCTTTGCATAGTGAGTCAAAATTACACCACAGATCTCCCAAGGCAGTGAGTGCATGTACATTTGATCGCGTGTGTTGAAAAAGGGGAAAGAATACACTTATTATCAAAACATGGATGGGGTCTCTAGACATCTTTGTTTGACACTGTCCTTTACAGTGTTTCCCAACCTTTTTTGACTCGTGGACCTCTGAGCCGTTTTCTCTTACCATGAGTACCCCCAAACGTGGTGACCATTCTCCAAAAGTAGAACTGATTATTAAATGAAAATAATTTCATTTAATCCCCTTAACACTGAACCACGTCTCACTTCCTGTCTGGCTCAGGTGAATTATTTAACTTTAACAATCCTCATGCAAGGTTCAGACTCCACGAGGAAACTTTCTGGAGCTCTGCAGCTGGATCCCACCACAGCTGTAGTAAATGCTCTGACGTGACTCGATCGTTTCTGGTCCATGTGGAACTGGGTCGTATGCGACTGAGGATTCAGGCTTTAGGCCCTCTCTCAGTAGCAGCTAGCCCTGCTCTGGTTTTTCCTTCATATAGTGTTTCTTAACCCTGGTCCCCAGCACGCCCCTGTCCTACTTCAGGTGTTTCCCTGCTGCCACACACCTAATCTAAATGAATGAGTGACTAACAGGCAGGGGTGGGCAATATAAACGATATAAGGTAGAAACAATATAAAATTGGGTGATGATAGAGTTTTTGGCTATATCGCAATACCGCAATAACACAAGACGTCACTAAGATGTGCACCCTGCTGGCATTGGGGCAACAGAATGAGTGGGCAGAGGAGGCCTATATGCCTCAAGTGGCATATATTTGCCACATGAGGATATTTAAAAGTATGTCATTTTGACATGTTTAAACAGAGGAGAAAATGTATCGCAATATATATCGTTACCGCACATGCTTCAGATTATATCGAAATATAGATTTGAGGCCATATCGTCCAGCCCTACTAACAGGTTTCTGCAGCACTTGATGTCATCCTGAGAAGGCGATGCAGATATGTAAATCAGGTGGGCTGAAGCAGAGACATGGAGAACAAGTAGGACAGACAACGCTTAGTTTATTATTCATTTGGGTAGGAATGGGCCATATGGTTTAAAATCTATATCACAATCAATTTATGTACTTATTTATGTCAGAAGGACAGTTTTTATTAAAAATTGCACATGAATTTCAGAACAAATACTTCTAAAATGTATTAAACATTTAACGTTCATAACTTATTGAAAAAAATGTATTTTTTTTTTTTTTACCAGGGCAATTGTTGTCATTATTTGAGTAATGAAATATAAATTTTTCCACGTACCCCCTGTAATGCACTCACGGACCACCAAGGGTACACGAACCCCTGGTTGAGAATCACTGCTTTAGAAGATGAAAGAGAAAAAGGCAAATCTGCCACCTTGGGAGCACATCACCAGTTAGCCTCCCCAAAATGGAAAACAAAAAGAACAGGCACTTAGAAAACTGAAGGTGTCGTTATTGTTCTGACACACACACACACGCACGCACGCACGCACGCACGCACGCACGCACGAGGCCTCTGTAATGCTAGTACAGGACACTCCAACCAGCAGCAGTCAGCAGGTCATTGATTGGACGATTGTCTAAATGGTTTCTCTTGCCGTTGTAGGACATACCCTTTTGAGCCACGTGATTGATTATTTGATTAAGTGGATAAACTAATTGATTAGCCGACTGATTTTTCTCCTCAGAACATTTCCCCCAATGTGCTCGAGGAGTCGGCTGTGTCGGATGACATCCTGTCGCCAGATGAGGACGGGGTGTGTTCAGGGCGCTACTTCACGGAGAGCGGCCTGGTGGGGTTGTTGGAACAGGCGGCTGAGCTCTTCAACAACGTAAGAGAATGAAACTACACGGATGTGACCGGGATTTAAATCCACATAGTGGCATTTCACTCTTTGGTTGTAACCTGGAAGCAGTGTTAGTTGGGTTCATTGAAATGATCCGGTAGAGCATTCATGTCTGTCTCATGACGTCCGTCTTAAAAAGCAGCTGAAAACTCACCTGGTCAGGCTGGCTTTTGTATGACCTTCTTCACTACTCTCTCCTTATCCTGCTCTCCCCACCTATTCCACCTTCCTCAGGATTTCCCTCTTTCCCTCTTTCCTATTCACTCTCTCTCTCTCTTTCTTTACATTTTTTAATCACAATTGTCTATTTTTGCTTATTTCAAACATATTTTTTGATCATTTTCTAAATTCTTTTTTTATATTTTAAATTTTTTGTGATTTTTATCTTGGGAGGCGCTATAGAATTGATCGTTTCTTCTTCGTCATCAGGGTGGTCTCTATGAAGCGGTGAATGAAGTCTACAAGATCATCATACCGATTCTGGAGGCCCGCAGAGATTTTAGAAAATTGGCCTCTACACATGACAAACTTCATCGAGCCTTTGAAAACATCATCCAGAGGGTAATAACTCAAAGCTCACATCTCCACATGGTTCCTGGTGCTGTTTTTTCCCCTGAGAACTTTGTAGGTTGTATTTATTAAAGTATTTTAAAGCAATAAACCTTCGAAATGTTTAGTTTAAAAGTTCTCCTGCACTATAACAGCTTTTGGCATCATTTACAGGCAAAATGCCTTTCTAATCGAAGCACTTAAAAAGTTATATTTATAATAAAATCTTTTAAAATGGCTTTTGTCATAATTAGAAAAACATGGCATTGGTATCATACCAGTGTAAAATCCCCTTCTTTCCCTCCAGGGCCATAAGAGGATGTTCGGAACGTATTTCCGTGTGGGATTTTACGGGGCCAAATTCGGCGACCTGGACGAGCGGGAATTTATTTACAAGGAGCCCGGCATCACACATTTACCCGAGATATCACACAGGCTGGAGGTAGGAGACATGAAAGCAGTAGTATTGATGAACTGGAACGGCGGGGGAGGATGGTACCGTGTGCCGGCTGAGACTGATGAAATCTGATAATGGAGAACCTTTGAATGAGGAAAATGACAGTGTGCAAAGCTAGCAATTATACATCTGTTTCTAGTGAGTTTTATTGGAGCGTGGAAACATCATTTGCATGCTAGAATTGATTCCTTCCAGCGCAGGCATCGGGAATTCATCTAAGCACTTGAATATTTAGCAATTGAAGAAGGATTCTCAAAAAGCAGTGATGAAACACGTACATGTGTTTAGTATGCGTTGTGTAAGGACGGTGTGAGCACTAATGAAAATATCCTCTCTAAGAACTTCTACAGTCAGTGTTTTGGAGATGACACCCTGGTGATGATCAAGGATTCTGCACCAGTGAACAGAAACCAACTCAACCCCAACAAGGTCAGTAATTCGTGCAAGTTCATGAACATGAAAAGGTTTTAAATCGCCCTTAACTCGCTTGCAGTTTGAGTCCAAGCACTCAGACTTTCTTGTAATCTTTTAAATTGTTATTGATGAAACATTTTCCACCTTTTCTGGTTTATTTTTATTCATTTAAATCCAGTTAGAATTTTTTTTTACTCCTTTCAATTTCCTGCTCTTGTCCATGACCGTTCAGTGTTTGCTTGAAAAATTAATAAAGTGGACTAATTGAGGACAAAAGATCACTTTTGCTTATGCCACTAACATCACTTATTTTTGCATTATTTATTCATTAGGAGCAACAAGGGTTATAAAATAATGCAAATGAAAAATATAATTAAAGTAACAATATTTATTTTAAGCTAAACATACCATATTTTAGTTTAGTAGCTTTTTTCCAGAGTTGCTAAGTGCATTCTTCAAAATGAAATGGGAACTAAAATAGGATCTAACTTGCTGTTGCCGTTGCATGGTGGCGTAGTGGTTAGCACTGTTGCCTCGCAACACGAAGGTCGCAGGTTCGAAACTCAGCTGTGGCCTTTCTGCGTGGAGTTGCGTGTTCTCCCCATGCGTGCGTGGGTTTTCTCCGGGTACTCCGGTTTCCCCCACAGATCACAACATGCCCTATAGGTAAAAAAAAAGAAAAAGAAAAATTGTAAGTCGCTTTGGGTAAAAGCGTCTGCTAAGCACATAAACATAAACATAAAATTGAAATTCAAACTTACGAGAAATTCTGACTCCATGTTAGCAAAATGAACAGAAATGAGGGATGACTCAAGATTTTTTGCACAATATTCCTTGCTGCGACATTAACAATAAAACAAACAATTAATGACATTAAATAAATATAGTGGATCTGTTTGGTTCGTTCTTCATTTAAAAAAAAATTTTTTTGCATCGACTTTGCTCTGAAAACGATGGTATTATATAATTAGATGTAGAGATTTAGTTGAAAACCTGAAAAGAAGATGAAACGATGCTCAAACGTTGTTGTACCACTCCGAATGATTTGGGTATTTAGAGGCTTTAAGGATCAGTTTAAACAAACTCAGATTTAATTTTTAATTTAATTTTTTTAACCAAAAATCTAGTTTTATGACTTTGGAAGAAATCAAAATGAATGAACCACTGCTCCTCTCCAGGCATACATCCAGATCACTTATGTAGAGCCGTACTTTGATGACTACGAGATGAAAGACCGTCTTACAAACTTTGAGAAGAACTTCAACCTGCGGTGCTTCATGTACACCACGCCCTTCACCAAGAGTGGACGGCCTCGGGGTGAGCTCAATGAGCAGTACAAGAGGAAGACCATCCTCACCACCATGCACGCCTTCCCTTATGTCAAAACACGCATCAATGTCATCCAGAAGGAGGAGGTCAGTGGGTCATCCAGCTGCTTTGTAAGAGTTATCTTTTGATGATGGCAGCAATAAATTCTAACTGTTTATTTCTCTCTCTTTCTCCAGTTTGATCTCACGCCTATCGAGGTGGCCATAGAGGACATGCAGAAGAAGACTAGGGAGCTTGCAGTTGCCACACACAGAGAGCAACCAGATGCTAAGATGCTACAGATGCTGCTACAAGGCTCTGTGGGGGCCACTGTTAACCAGGTTAATGAGCAATGCAGATTTTTGAAGTGTAAATTACCGTATTTTCCGGAGTATAAGTTGCTCCGGAGATTAAGTCGCACCAGCCATAAAATGTATAAAGAAGAAAAAAAACATATATAAGTCGCACTGGACTATAAGTCGCATTTTGGGGGGAAATTTTATTATTTTTCTTACAAAATCTGAGACCAAGCATTTCACATTGCAAGACAAGTACCGGTAACAGTAACAGAATAAACAATCAGGGCGCAGCAGCATGCCACAGGCTGCAGCAGGTGATGGCGGTGTTTGAAACCCACCCAGCGGGGCAGAGGAGCTGAAACCAGGACCGGAGTGGCCCGCAGTAGCGCGCATCGGTCTCCAGCAGGTGATGGAGGGGCAGGGGAGCTCATTCCTGGTCCAGAGCCGGCCCGCAGCAGCGTGGTATACATACTTTGGTGTATAAGTCACTTTGGTATATAAGTCGCAGGACCAGCCAGACTAGGAAAAAATGTGCGACTTATAGTCCGGAAAATACGGTACTTAAAACACAGTCGATCAGTCTGAGTTTCACAGGCAGAACATTAAAATAGCTTTCACCCCCCTTTTCTTCCATTAGCTGCAAAAAGAAAATAGACAGAGAAACGCTCAGGTTGGAAAAAGCCACACAGATTTACATCACTCTGTAACATTTGAATTCAGGGATTCACACACCTTAGCTCGCAAACCCGGAAGGCTGAATCTATTTAGTGTCCAGGAGAGAGCAGAGCACAACTAGGTGAGTAGAAGCAAACCATTAGTATTAGCAACTCTACAGTGTAGTATAGTGATGCAATAAATGCTCCTTTATTCATTTTCTGCTGTGGGAAAAAAACGCCCACGCTCATGTTACATGATGTAGAATTTAGCAGGAGCAAAGTGGAGCAGAATACAGCAGGATTTGGAGTCTTATTTCCTGATATTCTGACGTATCGCCTCTGATTGGCCGACAGAAACGCAACTCTACCACTTGCTATCTACTTAGCAACGTTTTTGTTTTATTTCCACAAATAACACAAGCCTAAAGGAATTCTGCTGTGTGGCGGAGTTGCTAATGCTAGCAGTTAGCTTCTACTAGCTTAGATGTGCTCTGCTCTCTCCTGGATGCTAAATCAACAACAGCCTTCCTGTTTATAACCGAGATGGGCAAGTCCATAAAGGCTAACTTTCAGTGTGATGTAAGCTAATGCAGGAAATAGGTGTAGAAGACCATTTTCATGTTCATCCTGCAAGTAAAACTCAGAGTGATCGTATTTAAAAACTAACAAGTGAAATTGTTTCTCAGTGAACTTGGTCTTTAAAATAACAAATGTATGTCTTATTTAAGGAATTAATCCACCTTTATGCTGATGTCTGCCTGCTTCCGTATGTGACTTGAAATGACCCCAGATGTTCCTCTAAAACGACACATTTTGTTACCCTACCTTTCCAGAAAACAACAAAGTTCACATCGATTTATGTTCTCACGTACATAATTTCCATTGTAGTCGCAGCGTACAGGTGGGAGAGAAGACAGCGATCTCACATCAAAGCCTTCAGCGTATCTGTAACCCCAACCCTTCCTTTGGCTTTCCTCCTTGATTCAGTTAAAACGTCAATTCGTGGCCCGCCCTTCCTTTCATGTCCCGCCGCATGGCGTGCTGAGCCGGAGGTCTCTTTGATCTGATGGCTTCCAGGTTCTGCCAGCATGGAGAATGTTAGAGTAATGACAAAGCTAGTTTTAACGTCTCCGCTTCCTCCCTCCCATGCTTTTTCTCCCAGCGTCTAATCTGACAGCTCCCTCGCGCTGACTTGATGGTTGTATACATAACCCAAATGCTCAGCAGCTTCGTAAACATATAACTCCGGACTGTAATCAGCGCAGGAGGCTGCTTTTCTGTGTGTGGGTCGGCAGCTCAGGCCCAAAGAACTGAGGCCCATGCCCGATGCGTTTACGATGCTAATCAGTGCTGTTTAACCGCTCCTGTCGTGATGCAGGCATTGTGCGAGCGTGCTGTGGTTTTATGATGAATGTAAGTTAGGATAACAAGGTTTCAAGCTGGGTAAATGGCAGCTAAATGGTGTCTGAATGCAGGCTTGGAGGTGACGTTAGCCATCCAGGTCACTAGTCATGCCTCCTTTGATCTGATCTCTTCCCCCATATTCCAGTTATGCATCTTGACTCCTAGCTGCCACAGACTTTTAGTTTGCAAGTCCTTTCCTCCCTTCTCTAAACGAGGAGCATTCTCATCCCTTCTTTTGTTCAAATACTCCCAAGCACTTCCGCTCCTTCCTTCCTCTGCAGCGATTTAGCTTTCTCTTTCTTCCTCTCTCTAACTCCGACCCTTTGTGCTGGTCTCCCTTCCTCCTTTCCTTGCAACTGTTGCAGGGCCCGTTGGAGGTGGCCCAGGTCTTCCTGAATGAGATCCCCGCGGACCCCAAGCTCTTCCGCCATCACAACAAGCTGCGCTTGTGTTTCAAAGAGTTCATAATGAGGTAAGACATGATCAAAGGATCACCAGGTGGTGACTCAAACGATGACAGAATCATGCAAAGATATGTTTGTGAGAAAAAAGCATCATAAAAATATTGTGAACATTTTTATAATGCGCAGGAAGCTTGAAGCTCACCAGCTAGTTTTTATTCATTAGATTTGCATTTCTCCTTCTGTTACCATGGCACATGCTCAGCAGGTGGAAATACAGAATAAGTCTTCAAAGATACTTTTCTTAAAATAACCTTTTTAGTACATAATTTTGTGTTTTTACAACACCTGACTTGGAGGGGGTAATAACTTTTTCATGTTTTTAAATAATTTTCTTGAGCCATTATGTACTAAAATGACCCTTTACAGGGTAATGAAATGTCACTCAGATCCCCACCGCACCCTGTGGCCAGAATATCGCACTTGCAACTTCAGAGTGCCGGTCCGGTCACTGTTGGACATGCCTGGCACAGGAGTCTGCTTCTAGCAGGTTTCCTGCACGTTTTAGATGGTGAACACAGTTGATTTGTTTGATCAACACATTCTCACTCCCAGCGCTTCAAAAACAAACGCTTGGTCAGCCACCCTCCGCGTCAGACCCCTGATGCCAAAAGTGCCCTTTTTCGTCACTTATGTGCGAAACGGGGTTTTTCCCCTTTTCTGACTGCAGATCCCAGTGCAGCGTAAAACTGACACAATGGGATGTCCGCTGATGTGGCACCGAGCCAGCTCATTTAACCACACCTAAACCTTAACGTTTTGCCATTTATAACCTTCCCCTCACTCCTATCCTAACCTTAACCCTCTTGCTACCTAAAACGTTACTCTCACTGTGATCAAGCGTTTGTTTCCCATGCATTCTGACTGTGAGTTTTCGTATTTGCCGCCCAAGGGGAACGTTAGAACATACCATCTGGCAAGGGGGAGGTTACAAGTACCCTCTACGTTTAACCTCCACCTTGGTAGCAAAAACCTCCCCCTCGCGTTGCCTCGGTCCAAACCCGACCAATGACGAGGCGGCTCCCGCCGTTCACTTCATAGAGCCGGCTTTTAGAGCGACCGACACATCACTAACGTGTTAGCTAGCAAGATGGTTAAGGTTAGGATAGGGGTGAGGGGGAGGTTAAATAACAAGAGGATAAGGTTAGGGTGAGGTACAATGAGCTCGTTTGGTGCCCTGGCTGCGGACATCCCATCGCGTCAGTTTTACACTGCATTGGGATCTGCAGTCAGAAAAGGGAAAAAACCCTTTTCGCACATAAGTGACGAAAAAGAGCACTTTTTGCGTCAGGGGTCTGATGCGGAGGGTGGCTGACCAAGCGTTTGTTTTTGATGCGCTGGGAGTGAGAATGTGTTGGTTTGATTTAGTGATAATTCCCTCCTGCAGACACTAATGAAGGCTGATGAATCGTTTCCGTTGTTAGATTAAGGTGAAGTTATTAATTTCACATTTGCTTTCACTTCACAGGCACTAGGGGGTGCTAAAAGCAAATCAAAACAGCCTAGTATTCCTTTAAGGTGCTTGGCGGGGGAGGTTCAAGACTAACATTAGTTACAGTTGTTTCACGCACAATACAATAGCTTTCAATAAGTTTTTAAACAATTTAGCGATTAAAAACTCTGATATCTTACTTATCCATTGAAGTAACAACATGGATGTATATAACCTCTTTTCAACTAATTTATGTTCTTTAGTTCCACATCTTGCATTAGGCTAAATTATCACACAAAATCAAAACATATTAAGTCTCTTTCCCCAGCAGGGGGGCCATGAGGGGGTCCAAGCTTGCTGTTTGGGTGGCACTGACCCACCCTGGACCCGTTCTAGAACCGCCCTGGTTGTTGATGTACCAGTTGTTAAAGGAACTTCATTGACTTATCAGAGACAGAAGTAGGAGGTGTATTGGCTGCTTGGAGCAGTCAGTAGCACTACCCCCTTGCAAGAAGGTTGCAGGTTTAAATCTGGGCTGCAGCATTTCAGCATCAAATTATCACGTTTAGGTTAATTTGTCTGCAAAATAATCAAAATGCAAAACATAAAAAAAAATTGTTTTCTTTTAATTTCATTCATCTGCAAATCATCTTGAAGATTATAACTTTACATTAAAGTTATTTGTGTTTTATTATACTCTGAAAAGACATGGTTCGAGTGATTTTATGCAGACATTGTGGCCGTTTGTTTGTATTTATAAGTTTTGGACTGCGCACACTCATCTCCTGGATATGTGCTGCTGTTTTCCTCCAAAAGGTGGTTTCCATTTCCTAAATCGCATGTCACATTTCAGCTGCCTTAATTGCTACAAGCAGGATGGCAAATATTTACTATAATTTCAGAGGAAAGGTTTATTTTATATCCTAAATCAAGATCCTGGCAATGCAGCACTTTGTGCAAGAGCCTTCTCAACAGTGACATCCTAAACGATGGATGGATGGATGGATGGATGGATGGATGGATGGATGGATGGATGGATGTCAAGTTGAATTAGGTGTAATTTACATGTTCACGGTTCAAATGGACTTTAAGAAATCTCAAACTTTTAAATCTTCAAATATCAAAAATATTTGATACCTATATAAATATTTTAAAGTTGTATAATAAACTCATTTAAATATATAGATATCTGTAAAACACGCGAAACTGCAAACAAAATCCCATGCAAAGAACAGGTAGAAACTAACCAGCCTATTTTTAATATATATATATATATATATATATATATATATTATATATATATATATATATATATATTATATATATATATATATATATATATATATATATATATATATATATATATATATATATATTATATATCATAACTCAAAATCGTGTTTCTGCAGAAAAGTCAAAGCTGTTTTATTGCATCTCCCTAATGGATCTTAAAAGCAGCCACTTGTTCTAACTTGCACATCTATAATGTGTAATTGCACAGATTAAGTGTGTTTGGAGGGGTTTTATTGCTCTGCCTGACTGTCTTGGGCTTTTGTGTCTCTGTTTGTGAACTTTGGTATTCACAAGCTGCATTTTTAGTCTCTTTCAAAACCATAATTCATCAGTTTCTCATAAAACGCTGCAGTTTGAAGGTTAAAGGTGAAAGCTGAAATGACAAAATTACACCTTTTTGAGATGCTGTTTTACAAATAGTGGAGTTGTTGTGCAACATGACCACCTACACACTTATAGAGGTTTATTTGAATATAAAGACACAATTACCTTAATTTCACGTCAATTTATAGGAGAAAATGCACTAAAATATGTATATGCTCATTGAAAAAAGCCATTACCACCATATTATCAGACTTTTAAATATTAGCAGATGTTTTGCGACTGTAGTGCCATTCCTGCTTTTGTCCCATGAGAATTTTGATAAATGCTACAAAACACTGCAGTTTCCATGTTACCTTCATTAAAAGCTAAGAGATCAACTCAGACATGTGTTTGTGATCAGTGCCTTCTCTCTAATTGCCTACAGAAACCTCTGCATGTCGGCCATTGTGCATGTCATGGACTGTGGGGGAGAAGCTATACTGGCCTTCTACTTAGCAGTCAGTAGCTTCCTGTTTATGTTGCAGAATAAGACAGTGCTTTGTTATGAATGGAAACTGAATATTGTAGCTGTTAGTCTGTCATTTCACTGAGCTTTTGGTCGTTTACAGCATGACTTACACCACAGCTGAGGAAAATAATCCAATCAGCACATGCACAGACCATCTGAGACCATGGTTCTCGACCGGAAAAGGGTGGCTTGCCAGCTCTGGGTCGGGGGAGAGGTCCTACCTCAAGTGGAGGAGTTTAAGTATCTCGGGGTCTTGTTCACGAGTGAGGGTAGGAGGGATCAGGAGATCGACAGGCGGATTGGTTCAGCGTCTGCAGTGATGCGGACGCTGAGCCGATCTGTCATGGTGAAGAGGGAGCTGAACCAGAAAGCCAGGCTCTCGATTTACCGGTCGATCTACGTCCCAATCCTCACCTATGGTCATGAGCTTTGGGTAATGACCGAAAGAACGAGATCGCGGATACAAGCGGCCGAAATGAGTTTCCTCCGTAGGGTGGCCGGGCTCAGCCTTAGAGATAGGGTAAGGAGCTCGGACATTTGGGAGGGACTCGGAGTAGAACCGCTGCTCTTCCGGATCGAAAGGAGTCAGTTGAGGTGGTTTGGGCATCTGGTCAGGATGCCTCCTGGACGCCTCCCTGGAGAGGTGTTTTGGGCATGTCCTGCCGGCAGGAGGCCCCCGGGTCAACCCAGGACACATTGGAGAGGTTACATCTCCAATCTGGTCCAGGAACGCCTTGGGGTCCTGCCGGAGGAGCTGCTGGAGGTGGCCGGGGAGAGGGCGGTCTGGAGCTCCCTAGTTGGGATGCTGCCCCCGCGACCCGGACCCGGATAAGCGGAGGAAGACGACAACGACGACAAATTGGAAATTCATTGAGGGACAAAAATTCTAATTTAGTGAAAAATTGAAGCTCCTTTTAACTTTTAAGTTTATGAATTAAAAACAAAAATTGGCACTGAATCAATTACTTGCTTGTCTTGTAGGTGTGGCGAGGCAGTGGAGAAGAATAAACACTTGATCGCATCTGACCAGAAGGAGTACCAACATGAGCTGAAGAAGAACTACAACCGCCTGAGAGAGAGCTTGAGGCCGATGTTGGAGAGGAAGATCCCCGAGCTCTATAAACCCATCATTAGGCCTCGGCTGGAGAACAGGTAAGCAGCGCCGCTGAGGTAAACAGCCTTACTCTGAAAGGTCAAGTAGAACTCATTTGGCATTTGTTGACACTGTCTTTGTCAAAGTGCACATAAAATACCACTAATGTAGTTTCATGTGTATTCCACTAAATTCAGTTTATTTATAAAGCATCAGTTCACAACACAAGACATCTCAAACCATCAAATACAAATTAGATTGGTCCAGATTCAGGCTAATAGATGGTAGTAGAATTTTGAGGCTTTCATGAATAGTAAGATCGTTAATGAGTAATTTTTGTGACTTGTGCACATAAAATGCCAGCTGTTAGTACCCTGACAAGCCATCCTATATATGTGAATATTAAGTCTGGCAAAGACCCAGTAACAGCGCTCAGTCATGGGGAGGGGTCTATGGTTGTCTTTCAAGCTATCTCCACATGGCTCTTGTGTCAGGGGGTTTAAGGTTTTTGGCATCTGTCTGATTGATCCCGGTGGCTGCCTGGTGGGATCTGAGTCCCTAGGCTCTGTTGGGTCCCCGGCGGGGCTGGTCGCCCCTGGGACCTGGGTCGTTGGGCTCCGGGCTCAGCAGACTTGGGGGTGGGAGGCTGTGGGCGGGCCTGTGGGCTTGCCGCTGATATCTCCTGGGACTCTGCCGGCTGCCGGTTGTGGCCCCCCAGGGCAACCTTCTGCGCCTCTCGAGAGGGGGCTGGGGCTTCTCTGGTTACAGTCTCCCTGATGCCCCTGTGATCTGGGGCAGCTCCTGGATCTCTGGGGCTTGGAGCTCCTTCCATCTTCTACGCATATTTGGGGGGCAGATCTGTGGCCCCTCACACTCTATATTGGACGCTCCTATAGAGAAACCTTACATGTACAAGCTCGTGTACACACACAGGTGCTCACATGGTGCTCTCATAAGTATTGACTTGGGCATTTTCAACACATGTCTTAAGGCTGTGGCTGGCACTAAATGCACTGTGATTTATTAGCGTTTGATTGTTCAGTAAAACCATGTTTATCTTATATTTCTTCATTGGGTTGAGGTAGTGATAGCTTGCTCTTATTGTATTGTTGTGTGTCCCTTTTTTTGGTTTGGCTTTTCTCTTTCTGCAGGTCTAGAAGCAGACTCCTGTTCATCATTGATTGTTTACTTTTGTGGAACCCCCCCCCCCCCCCATCCCCCCTGTAATTGGCCCACCAAACAAATAGAGCGCTGTGATTGGCCCACCAAACAAATTGAGCGCTGTGATTGGCCCACCAAACAAACTGAGCACTGTGATTGGCCCACCAAACAGAGCACTGTGATTGGCAAGCCACCAGACTGGTTAGGGCTGCAAAGGTTCCAGTGGAGCGTGACATGCTGAGAAAAATAATTTAGCTTCTGCTACTGTCTGTCTAGATTTCTAGGCTAAGCTGTTACCATTCACTTACATTATTTATGCTAAGCTGAAGCTAACAGAATACTTTAGGATGACTGGGCTGGTTACAAAATGTTTTTTTCCACTTATCCAACTCTGGGGAATATGGAAACAGACAAAATTTCACTTAGGGGTGGAATATCCTTTTTAAAAATTCCTCTTCGTTGTCATTATTTGTTTTGTTGTATTTCTGCCATTTTGCCTTTTTTTTTCCGCCTCCCTCATCTACTGTCTACTGCCCCTCACAGGGACTCTTTCAAACGCCTCAGTTTCCGCAGAGCTCCTGATGAAAACTCCTGAGGTGGCACAGCTCGTTGGAGAGTGCTGCAGAAAGTTGTCACAGAACTGAAAGGGTGGAGGGAAAAAAAAGAGATGAAGATGTGTTAAAAAGCTCCACTGAAATGATCTGAGCAGGAAAAGTTTCCGCATGGATGAACCAGGGTTGTTGTTTTTTTATTCTACATTTGAATCCAGCACTGTGCTTTATCGGTTCCCATGTGCCCACTTTTACGACGTCATGGAATTTTTTTTCCCCCCAATAAAATGGTCAAATACAGAAATTAGAGCAAAATGCTGTAAAATGTCAAAGTTCTGATAATGCTGCAAACATCCCGTCTGGGCTGATAAATTTACTCAGAGCTGTGTGTGTGTGTGTGTGTGTGTGTGTGTGTGTGTGTGTGTGTGTGTGTGTGTGTGTGTGTGTGTGTGTGTGTGTGTGTGTGTGTGTGTGTGTGTGTGTGTGTGTGTGTGTGTGTGTGTGTGTGTGTGTGTGTGTGTGTGTGTGTGTGTGTGTGTGTGTGTGTAAACTTTAGAATGGAAGTTTTGTTGTGGCATATTGAAGTCATTTAATAGTTGATGATCAACTTTTTCTGTTGTAAAACTGTACATTTGTACTCTGGGCATGCATGACATGCCAGTATGAGCAGCGAGCGTTTGTGCACTGGAGAAGCTGGAATTCCGGTTGATTAATCTTTTCCTTTCAGCTTAAGACACCGTCTCCATTTCTGACCATTTAAATTACACATGGACAAATGATAAAACCCATGTTTTGTGTAAACATTAATAACCAAGATGTTTTCATTGGTATAAAAGAGGTATTTTTCAGTTGATTTTATAGAAATTTATTTTTAGATTAATAAATTATGATATAAATGGAAACTATTCATGTAGAAGTCTGTAGTTTCAGTTGTTGCTTGTAAATATATAACTTTTTACAAAACAAAATTTAAAACAGTTTTGCGTGCTCATTAAACCGTATTCCTGTTTTTGAAATAATTAAAAAGTTTGTGTTTTATTAGTGGCATTGATCTATTAGACTACATAAATCAATCTTTTCTTCATTGTTGTCATGCACTCAATCCTGTTCAAGATTATGAATAAAATTTAATATATGAACATCATCACCACAGTGGTTATTGTTATTTTACATGTTTGTATTATTAAACACTAAATGTATTGATGAGGTATTTGTGACCTTCCTCTATGTAAGCAAAAGTAGGTTTTGTGTATAAGTAATTTACTATTAAAAGCTACAGATTGAAACTTATACTTCAGTAAATATACAGGGAGTGCAGAATTATTAGGCAAATTAGTATTTTGTCCACATCATCCTCTTCATGCTTCATGTTGTCTTACTCCAAGCTGTATAGGCTCGAAAGCCTACTAGTAGTGATGGGTCCAGCAACACCGACACACAGGCGCATGTGTCAAGCTCATGGAGCGAAACCTGTGTCGATCAGTGTCGATCCGTGTGTTGCTGTAAGAAAAAGTCACATGACCAACACTGCTGCTGTGTCGCTCATTGCCGAGGCGCCAAACTGTGTTTATAAGGTATCGACTCTGCATCTGTCAACGGGATGAGTCGCCGCGAAAAAATTACCATTTCAAAGATAAAACAAGACATCCCTCTTTACATCAAGAAAATGGAGCCAGAGAGGCAAAGAAAAGTTTCTGCTGTGTGGGATCATTTTGATCTTTTAACAGCAAATAAGGTACGTGTTTGTCTTTCCTTGTTTCTGCGCATCTGTCAGAGTTGAAAACAGCAATGTGACTGACTCTCGGTGTAAATTATTTATTTAATTTAATTAGGTTAAATGTCGGATCTGCACAGCGGAGTTGTCTTATACAAATAAGAGCACTTCCTCAATGCTGAGACATTACAGGGTCAAGCATGAAAACGAAGAGGAAGCAAATACACCAAGAACGAACACAGGTAGACCTATATAGACACTGGGTGTCATGGACGTAATTTTCACTTTAGAAGTGGGGGGGGGGACATTGGGGGGGGGGGGGGGGGGGGGATCTTTACAGTATGTTCTAATGGGAAACAGGCTTCAAGACAAACGGTTGTTTTATGCTTGGTGCTAGAGCTCAACCAGTGTCAATTTAATATAACGTAATATTGTTTTTAGATGGTAAAAAGTGCAGGCGTCAAAACTTGACTTTGGAAAAAGTGGGGGGGACATGTCCCCCCCCCCCCCCCCAAACCCCCCCAATTACGTCCATGCTGGGCGTGCTTTGTCACAGTTGTTTTACTAATATATGTTTTATTATTTTGAAATCTAGGAAGATTGCTCTGGACCAAGCAGTCCTGAATTTTATTATAAAGGACTGCCAACCCCTGAGTATTGTGGAGAGTGAGGGGTTCAGGGGGTTGATTCAGGCCCTTGATCCATCTTACGTTTTGCCAACCAGAAAGGTTTGAATACACAATGTCTCAGATAGCTGCTGTTACTCATGTAATATATACAGTGCTTAACAAATGTATTAGACCATCGTCTGATTTAAGGTTTATGACACAGCAAACAAAAATAAACACTTGTGATTCAAATATCATGCATGCTTGAATAATTTCCGTCCGGTGTGTCAGCTCACATTTGGGTATAAAACTGGATTCAGTTTTAAATTCCTACCTTTTATTCAACAGGGCAAAACACAGAGAACTTCATAGCTGGATGTTTTTCTTGCTTTAATGACAGGTGGTCTAATTAATGTGTTAAGTACTAGACTAATTTGATTCATTTTCAGACGGTTAAGGAAATGATGGCCAAAAAGCATGCGGAGGAACTCAAACGAGTAAAAAGGGAAGTACAGCAAGCTGTGGCAGTGCGTATAACAGCTGACATGTGGACCTCCTTGAACATGGAGGCTTACTTAGCTCTTACCTGTCACTACATCAATGATAATATGCAGTTGTGTACATCTGTGTTGGGAGTCAAACACTTTCCACAAAGTCACACTGCTGACAATCTGGCCCAAGTCAAAAGGGGCATGATGGACGACTGGGCCATAACAAATAAGGTAAGGTGTCTTGTGACCGACGCAGCACCAAACATGATAGCAGCAACACGAACTCTTCAAATTCGACATTCAATCTGCATTGCACACAAACTAAATTTAATAGTCAAAAAATCCTGTGATCAGATGCCTGAACTTTCATCCATAAGACACAAATCTAGGCAAATTGTATCATTCTTCAGATCCAGCACCACAGCAAAAGAGAAGCTTGCTCAAGTGCAGCAACAGATGGAACGGCCCACCTTGAAACTTGTCAATGAGGTGCCAACACGTTGGAACAGCACATACAGTTGTGGTCAGAAGTTTACATACACTTGTAAAAAATATAATATAATGGCTCTACTGAGTGTCCCGTTATTTCTAAAACTCAGATTTTTCTCTGATAGAGTGATTGGAACAGATACTTCTTTGTCACAAAAAAACATTCATGAAGTTTGGTCCTTTAATGTCTTTATTATGGGTTAACAGAGAAAAGTGATCACGTTTGCTGGGTCACAAACATACATACAGCAGTGCTAATATTTGGTTACATGTCCCTTAGCCATTTTCACTTCAATTAGGCGCTTTTGGTAGCAAGGGCGTCAGTTTGTTTTCAGAATTGCTGGGGACAATAACCATACACTTGAGTGGGGTTTAAAAATTGCTGGGGACAATAAAGTAGGCTAGCACAGGGGTCAGCAATCCGCGGCTCTGGAGCCGCATGCGGCTCTTCCATCCATCTGATGCGGCTCTCTGTGCTTGTAAAATAATGAATGGCTATTTAAATAAAATGCTTTATATTTTACTGCATTAATTTTACATCTGTATGCCAATTCTAAATGTAAAGATTGTCTGCGTAAACCTGAACAGATCCAACCCGGCCTTACTGTGAGACCGGGTTGACGGGTCACGCTTGTGCGTAATCATATTGGCACTTTATGAGCTGAAGACAATGTGAGATTCTGGGCTTCTCCTCAGACAGGTTCCTGGATGTGTCGCCACATTGGAGACAGGAACAAGCGCTATTCAGCCAAAGTTTCATAATCAGGGAACATTTTCTAAGTGACAAGTCTCTCTGAGAGACAGGGTTTGGAAAACACTCGCTTCAGTGGGAGGAATCTTCCCGCATGCGCTCTGGTTCTCTGGGTGGCTCTGGGGTTAATCAAGTTTAATTGTTTCTCTTTGCAACAATCTTCACAGGAAGGCAAAACAGTTAAACGGCAGGTTACATATATTTCCATTTGACTGTTTATTTTGACAGATGAACTCAAGGATGTTGCTTGGTTTGAAAGAATTACCCCGACGCACACTGATGCGCATGGATGAGCTGACATTTTAATCGTTAACGCACATCGCGGAGGTAAAATATTCCCATCAGAACATCAGAGCTTTATACTGGACACTGTGTTCAGCGCGGCTCGGAGCGCCCACGGTGGGCAGTGAGCTGAAGATCTGGGGTTCGCAGCGCAGTGCAGAACCACGGCGCATGCGATAAGATTTCCTCCCACTGAAACATTCTGGAAACCCGGTCTCTCTGAGGGACGTGTCACTTGGCAAAATGTTCTTTTTATGAAATTATGAAACTTTGGCTGAACAGCGCTTGTTCCCGTCTCTAATATGGAGACGCATGATGCGTAGAGACATTTGATTACGCACAAAGTTTATGTGAAGCAGAAGCGGTCGGGCCACGGCAGGTGAAACGTTCCTAGCCTACATGAAGTGAAACTGTTTAATTGTAACATTAATGTGTTACTGGACACGCTGGTCTGGTTGGTTAGACCAGTGTTTGAAGTGGAAAACACACACACACACACCAATTAAAATAATGCTGATAGCGTGGACTAGCAGGTGATAGTTTATGTATTTAAATGATGATCAGGCTGCTGTAAAATGTAATCTCCATGTAAGCTCGGGAACCATTTGGTGGTTTAACCCCCCAATCCAACCCCTTAATGCTGAGTGTCAAGCAGGGAGGCATTGGGTCCCATTTTTTCAAAGTCTTTGGTATGACCCGACCAGGAGTCGAACCCTGATCTCCCAGTCTCAGGGCGGATACTCTACCACTAGGCCACTGAGCTGGTAAGTTAATGACAAGTGCAAGAGAAAATGAATTAATGGAGAGATTTTGTGTGATCAGCACTCCACCCGCCACAGTCCCTATTTCCTGCTCTTCCACCGACATCCACATCTTCCTGCTGTGATGAACACCTGTCCCATGGACGATGACTTTGAGGTTGCAAACCCAGAAGAGGACATCGACACAAGAGTTGAGGAGATGACTGTTCTGAATGAAACGGTCTGTACATTTGAAGCGGGCTGACTGACAGGGAAAGGAGATTTGTTGAGGGAAAAAAGGAGAAATGTGGTTAATACAGTTCTCATTTTTTATTGTGTATTCAACATTTTTTCTGCTTTAGTAGCTAACTTTTCATTATTTCTATATTTCCAGAATGAGCATTGCCATGGCGACCTGGTGAATAATAAATATTTATATTTCTCTCTCTGCTTTTCATGTAATTTTTTGGTAGGTTTTCACAATATTGAGAGGACACAGGACACCCAGAGGAAGAGCTTTGGAACACGGAAAAGGAAGCTAGTAAGGCAGTGTGTTGTTCAAGCAGGCGATGACGTGCTTTTGTCAGGAGATCCGAAAAGGAGACGCACAGGAGATGCATTCTCCAGCCATCACCAAGGACCGTACACTGTGGCCAGCATCACACCAAAGGGGGTGGCCACTATTGTGAAGGGAGCAATTTGCCAGAAGGTAAACGTGTCCAGGCTGAGGAACTACCACAGATCAAAAAGTAAGCATATGAGAAGTAATAAAAAGTCACAGTTCAATATTGATTTAATGTTAAAAATGGATTTAAGTTGGTATGTCATGCCACATATTTGTATATTATCAGATCCACCAACTGATGGGAAGTTTCTCCTGGACCACTTATATGGGACTCCTGAATGGCAGATTGATCATCAGTATGCCAGCCCAGGAGCAAAGTGGCAGAAAGACTTGGACCCTCTTCAGTCCAGTCTGGTACGGCACATTTCTATGCAGTCACGTTAAACCTCAATAAGTCAAAGTCGATGATAGTTTTAGAATTGCTGAAGTATGAGAAACAATGCCAGCCTTATTTTGTAGTTGCCCTTTTAATCTTTCTTTATTATTTTCTATATTGTATTGAAGCAAAAATCACATGAAATGCTCTTTATTTAGGTGGAATGTGTCTTGGACCAAAACCGACCTCCAGGAGATCTCCTATGGGCCATTCCCATCTGTACCGGGTCGGCCCGGGCCGGGTAGCCCCAGTCGGCCCCAGCCTGGCCCGGTTGATTCCACACATCCTTGCCTTAAGCCCATGTGGGCTGATTCTACCCACCAATCAGAGGCTTGCTCTAATGGAAGGTGTGAATGGGCTGATTCTACCCACCAATCAGAGGCTTGCTCTAATGGAAGGTGTGAATTTGCTGTCAGCAGTGGGCGTGTTGGCCCTGGTCGGCCTGAAGCAGTACCCCTCGGGAAGAGGGCCGAGAATGAGCCTTGGTTGGCCCGGGAAAATTCCAGGCCACCCAGATATGTAAACAACCTATGCTACCCGGCCCGGGCCGACCCGGTACAGGTGGGAATGGGGCTCTAGTGAAGGAAGACAAAATCTGCCTAACTCGGGAAGACTTTTGGAGCCTGGGTTTGGAACAGTCCATGGAATCTACTGTAAGTACATCTTGTTACTTAGTCTAATGCACTGCAGAGAAAAGATAATGAAATGCAAGATTTTAAGAATAGTAAATGAAACTGATTCTATAGCTTTTTGCTATTTCTTTCAGATTGGGAACGCTTGTCTGAAGGTTGTGGAGGAAGCTGCACAAAGACATGTAATCTGTCGTACTGGTACACCTTTTCTTTGGTTATAGCCATGAATGGTTGTTGCGTATTGATTTTGCTGTTTTGTGTGTTTCCTTTAGGGAAAAGATGTTCACATTGCTGACCTCTATGTCGTGGCCACCTGGAGGGATCCACAAGTCAACCTGCTGCGTTGCTTGCCGGTATGTTTTTGTTAGTTTTACTCCTGCATGTGCATGTTTACTAATTTGTACCAATACATGTAGGAAAACTTTAGGTCCAAGGACATCCTGCTTTTTCCTGCTTGGAGTCGGCAGGCAGGTGAAGCTGACCATTATCTGCTCTGTGTGAGCGCCCTTGATCTTTCTTGCTCTGTGTTTTTTCATCTGATAGAAAATAACAGAGGTTGACATGTCGTGTTTTCATGGATGATGCTAACATGTCTATTTCAGGCTATATTGGTAGCTGAGAGACAGATACTGTTTCTGGACTCACTTGGCCCTGATGGTTTTGGAGATGATCTCTACCGAACCACATTTAGGTTGACACTAAAATGAAAATTTGTTCTGGCCTTGTTCAATGGCCTCTTGTGTTCTTTGGAAAGATCGTCTAAAAGCAGCCTCGTTCTAAGTCTTAAAGGTTTGGGAGGCTGCCTCGTTCTAAGGCTACTTCATGATAGGGATGCACCAATACTGATATCCAGGCCAATACTGTTCTAATTAACTCGTATCTGTATAGTTTAGTTAATTGATACTGTGAACCGATACTTTAAATGTGGAAACTGCAAAACTTTCACAGAAAATGTTTATTTTTCACTTGAACTTTGAATTTTGTGGTCATTTTAACTAATATGTTTTTTTTTTAATCTAATTCACCATTATTTGTAACAAGCACTGAAGAAAATAAAACTGCCTTCCGATTCATTCCATTCCGTTGTGTGGTAGAATTATTAGCATTGGTACTTGGGATCAACAAGTACTCGGATCCAATTATCTGTATCGTATCGGTTTGAAAAAGTATTGTTGCATCCCCACGACATGAATTTATTTTTGTTTTATGGCAAACATTTGATTGGTGTGTTATGTGTGTTCTCTACAATGCCAGGAGAGTAGCAGCCTTCATTGACTCTGGATTCTGGATGGATAAAACAGGAAGAGACCTTGAGGTATGTTTTCAGTGCAAACGTTTGAAAGCTCATCAGGTGCATCATAATGCAGTTAACAACTAGCAGGTGCATGTCGGCTCTCCTCATTTATTGAAACATGTTTCTTTTTACAGTTCTTTCCCCAGCAGTTCATGGGAAATTGCTGCGGCACCTTTATGCTGATGGTGAGAATTTACTTGCCATTACTTGAATATAACATTTTAACATGTTAAAGATTGATTTTACTTTACAGTATGCTCTCTGCATCTGCACCTCATCTCCACCATCTTTCACAGAGGTAAGCTTTTTCAGACAGTACCACCAAAGTGTCTGTGCCAGTGTCCAGTCTTCATAAACATTACATTATATTTGTCTTCAGGAGGAAATGCCAGCAATTCGCCTGTGGTGGTGTATTCAGCTGATGGAGAGATTTGGCATTGAGGGGTATGGCAGGCACGTTAGACAAACTGGCACCATCATATTTGCAGCTTTGGTTCAGGCAAGACATCAGGTCAAACAGATGTTTGTGAAAGTGGCTTACTGTAAACCATGTGACTGAACCAACATACTGAAGAAAGCAGCAGTACACAACTAGAGTTCATTCAGACTGGCGTTGTTTTCTAAAGGCATGGACAAAGATTTGCCTTCTGGACAGAAGAAGCATCCCTTCTCCTCCAGGGGACTCTCCAGCCTGTCTTCAGGGTACCAAAGGCAACCTCCTCCAAGCCTTCACCAAGTCTAATCAGACCGGTGAGAGAGGACAACAATCAGATAACTATTTGTAGGACAGAACCACACAATGTTGAGACTATTCATCACAATGCAGGTTTACATACATGGTGGTAATCTTCATTTCAGTCTAACGTGATAATCATGTTTTCTGTAAAAGGCTGAGGCCGACAGATGTCTTATACTGGAGGTAATCTATTGATTTTCCTGTTTCTTTAATTTGTTGATATAACTGAATTAGTAGTTATGGTCACAGGCAGCTCCTTCAGAGACATTATTCAGTAGTAGAATGAAGTAATAGTTATGAAACGCTATGTAATGTGTTTCCAGTCCTCATATTTCTGAAACTTTATGGACACATTTTGTATTTTCACTATTGTCTCCTGACATAAATGTTACAGTTACCAGAACGTGTCCTCATGGACATATTGGAAGAGGTTGTTCTTCACGAAGGGGATACAGCGATCTTCAAACTGGCTCTGGTGTGCTCCATGTTCAGAGACCTTGTGTCTACTGAATATTTCAGAAGACGAGCACACTTCAAGTGGCTTCACAGTGAGGACTTCAGTAAATAATGAAATTATTTATACAGTTATTGTTGCTGTTGTCACGTTTTTCACTGACAGCATGTACATGTAATCTTGTTTTTATACGTCTGCTTTCCACAGGTGTTTGCACATGGAGCAGGTTCTCAGAAAAGTACAGAGAACAGTACTTAAACATGTACTCTATTGAGATCTGCCTTCAATGTGGAGACCAATACAAACACTGCCCCGGAGGTTTGCAACACTCAATAATCTTATATTGTTGTCATTACATACACTAAAAATCTCAATGATGCATGACATAATGAAAACCATACCACTCGGAGCCTATTCTTCTCTGGTTGATTTTTATTTATTTATTTATTTTTTATTACAGGATAGGTTGGCAGAGGAAAAAGAGGAGAACTAAGGACACTTTACCCGGAGGAGATGCTCCCAGGCTACTGCAGCCACTTTTGCAGCCAAATGAACAATTAATGTGTCTGCTCTGTCGCCGCCCCCGTCTCCACACACAACCACACGCACGCACACACACACACACACGCACACACACACACATCTGTCTTTCTATCATAGTGAGGACCCTTCATTGACTTCCATTCATTTTTGTGATTTCACCATGCCTAACCCATACCCCAACCCTACAACGCTGATCTTTTCCTAACCCTAACCTTAACTAAAACTTAATTCACACTCTGCCTCTAACTGGTACAGTAAGCTTCTGGTATGCTTCTAAAAAAAGGTGAGGACCAAAAAATGTCCTCACTTTGTAGGGAAAATGGTCAAAATGGTCCTCAGTATGTAGTATGTACAAGAACACACTCACACACCACCCTGGTTGTAGTGACCAGGTTCCCCATCAGTGGTTCTCCCACATCTTGGTTTGTGTTTTGATGCCTGTTTTTTTTTTTTTGTGAGAGTTTTTGATCATTCTTCTTGGAGTACTATAGCAAAAACTGTAATGCTCTGTTTGAGAAAGTGAATCTGTTGGGCTTGTACCTGGTACTCAGAGTACCACACTGCCAGAGAGGACACGCTGAAAATAAAAAGCTTTTTATTTCCATCAATATGTGTCTCCTTATTCAAATAATCTGGGTTGTAACCATCCTCTCAATCCTTTTTCTGTTGTTCATGCTCTTGTAATCTGTTGTTTGTGTTCCGCATTATTACAGTAAACCTGTGGAAATTATAAAGTGGTCCTGTGTTATTTTATATAGATATAAACATGAGTGTAGTTAAATCTGTATTTAACATGTTTAACCTATGAATACCTTGAGAAACTATTTTCAAACATTAATTTTGCAACATTGTGAAAATGATCACTATGGTATTACAAAGAATTAAGTTATTTCAAGACAAAGTGGCAAACTCAGAAATCTAACACAAAAGTAGAAAGTAAACAAATTTTAGGTGATGAGCCAAACTGGCTTTTGTGCAAGAATATGTTACATTTCATATTGGAAAACATTCATAAGACATGTAGTGCAAATTAAGAATATCTGCTGTATCACAATGACACCTTTTTCAGCTTTTAAATGAAAATGTAACCTATTGTGTGGAGAAAAAACAAACATGTAATAGGTTACCTGAAGACTAATCAGCCAGTGTTTACTGACAATTTACAGTGGACATTATCAACAGAACATCAAGATAATTCCAATCAATCGTCTCCACACATACAAGCATAAACACACTACATCAAATTTAACACGCATATAAAAACACGATTTGTAACAACGCAAATTGAGTTTACAATCGGGCTAATTCGCTCGGTCAGCAAGTGGCAGTACCCTCGTATACTGCGGAGTAAACTGCCATTGAACGGATCACAAGAAGAATAGAGCATCTGCACATGCGCGGTACGGATCAGGTAGACCAGATCTGTACGGTCCGACGTTTTTTGTTTTTTTCTATCTACATTATATTGAAATGTTTCACTATTGCAAACATTTTAATGGATACTTATTATTTTTAACATCTTAACAGATACTCTGACCCGTAACTATGGTAAAATGCTTCGAGCGGAAGTAGACGCCTTTCGCGCATGCGTGGTACCGATCGGCTGTCAGCAGGAGAGCACCCTCTCACCGCCATCGACAGCAGCCCGACGCAGCTCCACGTATCACGTGACTCTCACGTAAGCTCATTTACATATTAGGAGATGAGCGTCGTCTATTGCTTATATGCTTCTGACGTCATAAAGGCGCCGAACCTATAGACCTAAGACCTGAGAGCACATCGTTCATAGGCACTTTGTCTAGAAGAGAGAAACTTGTTTTTTGACTCCCACAAGAAGTTTTAAAATGGAAAAATCCACACAGGAATGTTTAGATAATTCTATTTTCAGAATTAAGGAAGGTATTTCTGTTGCAAGCAAATTCAATGCTTACCAAATCCAAAAAGTATCACATTACAGGAAGTTTAGTCAGATTGCTGAGTGCCGAAATGAGAGAACAGGTGAAATTTTGGCTATAAAATTTGTCAAAAAGAAGTTTCATTCTCAAAATAGGAGAGAGGTGAGGATATTGAAACAACTTAAGAGTTTAAATCTCCCCAAATGCTACGTTGTCAACTTTTCTGAGTGTTTTTCATACCAAGACAGGACCTGCTTCGCCTATGAGAAGCTGGATTCAACCTTTCTGGAATTAGTTTTAGCAGCAAATGGGAAACCTGTTCACCTTACTGAGATCAGAGCAATTGCATTTCAAATGTTAGTTGCTTTAGGAGCTCTGAATTACGCTGGAATCACTCACGCTAATTTAAAGCCAGAAAATATAATGACCATGGATGGACTTTCACACCAGTATGGTGTCAAATTGATTGGTTTTTCCAACTCTGCAAAGACATCTGAATTATGTGACTTAAAGATCCCATTAGATTGTGGTTACACCGCACCAGAGGTGTTCCTGGACTGTCCACTAGATGAAAGCCTTGATATCTGGAGCCTTGGATGTACGTTAGCTTTTCTGTTCTTAGGGCAACACATGAGCCCTGTGGACTGTGAATATCAGTACATGAGGTTTATCGTAGATGTCTTGGGCCAGCCGGGAAATGAACTACTGGAAAAAGGATGTCAAAGTCGTCGGTTCTTTAAACAAGTGAAGCAGGGGTCTGGTTACGTTTGGAGACTCCGGACCCCGAAGGAATTTGAAGAAATAACCGGAAGTGAGGTTAAGAAAACAGATTGCAATAATTTAACTGATTTAAATGACTTTCTGTTTAAATCCAACCAACCTGAGCCAATAGATTATGACGACACAAAGGCTTTCATCGACCTTCTCAGGAAGATGTTAAACGTGGACCCAGCACTTAGGATCAAACCAGCGGATGCTTTAAAACACCCATTTATAACAATGACGCATCTACGTTATATCTCAGATGAATTTTATTTAACAGAATCCCAAAGGATTATGAAGGAATGCCAATTCAGAGAAGAAGAAAACACTTATAGTTCTCTTTCCACCCCTAGCAGCAAAAGAGAACAGACCCCAGACCTGGATTTTAGTAAGAAGGGAAAGAGAAAATCCTCACATTTAGTTCAGACCAAAACCAGAACAGGAACCAGTAGCACTGAAACAAAAGCTGAATCGAAAAACACGCCACACTCTGACCCCAGGACGAGTTCACCTAATGGTGTGAATTTCCATGAGTTGTTTAGCAGTGAAACTTTTGAAGAAGATAGTTCAGAGGATTCAAAGCTGGACCGGTCTATCAGATGGGAAACGGATTCCTCAGACACAAACAAAGGGTCGTCCTCAACTGACTCAGATAGCACCGCTTCAATATTAACGCCAGGTATGGTAGTTACAGGGAATTCAAAGATTTACAATGTAGAGGAAGTTCTTGTTTCTGGGACGTTTGGAGAGGTGGCCAGGTGTTGCATAGAGGGACAAGATAAGGTGGTCGCTTTGAAAGTAATGAGTAGACAGTATGAAAACAAATTTTTAAATGAAGTTCAAACGCTACAACTTCTGAACAAACTGACAAATTTCAAACACAGCTTTATCAAATTGAATGACAGTTTCACCTATCGAGGCTTTTTATATCAGGAATTCGAGCTTTTGGATCAAACTTTGTTCGATTATTTGAAAAAAAGAGGTGACACTTTAAAGGTGGCTGAACTCAGAGCGATTGCCCAGCAGATCCTAGTAGCTCTTAGTGCTTTGAAACAGCTTGGTATTACACACACAGATTTGAAACTTGATAATATCATGCTTGTAAATCATGAAGAACAACCATTCAGAGTGAAGCTGATTGATTTTGGGTTTGCTTGTGAGACTGAAACTTTAAAAGAAAAGGGTATCCTTCACAATTTGGCATACAGAGCTCCAGAGATAACTCTTGGTCTACCACGAGATGAAGCTATAGACACTTGGAGTCTTGGCTGTCTCTTATCTGTTCTGTTTCTTGATTGTTTTGTGTTCCCAGAAGAAAACGAATATGATAATCTGAGAATAATTATGAAGCTCCTTGGTCAACCTGACAAAAAACAACTGGACGAGGGTACTCTAGTCTCAAACTATTTCAGAAAAGTTAAGAACGGGTCTGAATGCTCTTGGAGATTTAAAACCCTGAAACAATACGAAAAGAAGAAAGGAGCGGTGTCTAGGAGGGCACACGCAACCTATGATGATTTAACAACGCTGGATGAATTATTTTTCTCTCTAAACACTAAAAACTCAATTGAAAATGAAGATATTAAAGCTTTTCTTGACCTCGTGAAGAAAATGTTAACAGTGGATCCCGCAAACCGGATTCTCCCAGATGATGCTCTAAAACACCCTTTCATCACCACGGAGCATCTTGATGTCGCTTCAGATAGACGTTATGTGAAAAAAGCACGTAAATTAATGAGAAATGTCCAACCATTGCCTTCAGATGGTGAAAGTGAAATCAGCGAATGCCCTGGCCCCAGTCAGGTGCCAGGTGTTCAAACAGACTTAGATAGATCTTTACCAATGGCAGAATGTGATACATCGACATGCAGTTCAAAATTTTGTTCAGAAGAAGTAGCAAAGTTGTATTTAAAAGAATGTGAAGGAGGAAACGTTACAGAGAACACTTCTATTGACACCAGAGAGAAGAATGAGTTACTTAGTTTCTCGAAGAATGAAGAAGCAACGTGTAGCAAAAAGTTAGAGGAAAACAGCACAGTAAACACAGAGGAACTGCATATGGGTAATCTTTCACCAGACCTATCTACAGACTCATCTTCCTTAGACAGAGATGAGACAGACTCATCTGACTCAGAAAGCTTACCTTTCAACCTATTCCCAGGTATGAAGATTGAAAGCCGTTCAAAGGTTTATACTGTAGAACGAGTACTTGGATCTGGGTCATTTGGAGTGGTGGTCAGATGCCGTATACAGAAAACAAATGAGGTCGTAGCTTTGAAAATAACACAAGAAAGCAATTACAGCTCTTTTTTCAATGAGATGAAAATATTAGAAAGTCTGAACAAACTCACACAATACAATAGCTATTTTATCAGATTGAACAACAGTTTCTACTTTCAAGGTTTTTTATATCAGGAATTCGAGCTTTTGGATAAAAATTTAGGTACATTTTTGTACAACAGACGTAGAACTTTAAATGTGGCTGAAATCCGACCAATTGCCCAGCAGATCTTAGAAGCACTTACTGTTTTAAAACAGCTTGGTATTACTCACACAGATGTGAAACTTGCTAATGTCATGCTTGTAAATCATGAAGATCAACCATTCAGAGTGAAGCTGATTGATTTTGGGGTTGCTTGTGAGACTGAAACTTTAAAAGAAAAGAGTATCCTTCCCAGGTTGTCATACAGAGCTCCAGAGATAATTCTTGGTCTACCACTAGATGAAGCGATAGACACTTGGAGTCTTGGCTGTCTCTTGTCTGCTCTGTTTTTTAAATATTATCCGTTCCCTTATATCAACGAATACGATCAACTGAGAACAATTATGAAGCTCCTTGGTCAACCTGACCAAAACCTACTAGACAAGGCGACTCAAGTCTCAAAATATTTCATAAAAGATGAGGAAGGGACTGAACATTGTTGGAGATTTAAGGAGAGAGGAGCGAATTA